TTTCACTGATATGGAATAGTGAAATATCATAATGACGTTCCAATCAGATAATAGGTGACGTTGATCAAGCCATGCTGCAGGAACGTATGAGTCCCAGTTATGTAATTCTGGAAGGGAAAGATGAGCTTTTAGGTTCTAAAAAGAATGAATAATTTAGACAACTGGTCTGTAATACACTACTACAATAGTACTCCAAAAAAAAATCAAATTGTCATTGGACTTTGTGTAATATTTTTTTATTCCGTACCAACCGATATGTATGGAAGACCTGTAATAATGTTTTTGTGTTTAGTTAGATAAAATTATTAGTTATTATAACCTTACATTTCGCTTCTATTCTTCATCGACCACGCTCCAGTCACCCTTTCACCCACCCGACTCGGGTTTTCTCCTTACTACTAATTATTTCAAGCCGTATGCTAGTTTCTAAGCGAAAATCAGAATAGAAAATAAGGAAAATATGCTACAAGACGAAACTATGCCAGTAAGCCCCAAAAATAAGCCCATTTACAGAAAACTTCATTATAGACAATTGACAACTTGTGAAACTCAACGATTTGGGCGCTTGACATTTTCTTTTCACCCGGTGTCATCAGCGAACCCCCTCGGCCGCACCTGCATTCCCTTCTTTGAATTTACTTTCAATTTCCAACACACACTCGAATACGATCATTTTTTGAGGATTTGCCATTGGTTCTCAATTCTTTTAGTAGGTCATCCATCATGTAATATTCCATGTCATCAACGAATCAATGATGAAGATAACCAATAAATCATTCACTAATTATGTTTAACAAAAATTATAATTCTGGAAATAATTTTTTTTGTAGATAAAATTTTATAAAAATTTTAGGTTCTAACGTTTTTGCATATTAAAAGATTATATTGCCCCTCCTATGACCCTTGTCGAATATACTAGCCAAACAAGATGTATCTTTTTATATATACAACACAATCTTAAATGGATAAATAAAAGGAACTTTCCGTATCGCAACCATACTTCCGGCGCGATGAAGTGGTCCCATCATTGGTGAAGGCGACTGCGGGGGTAACTTAAACCTATGAGTTTACAATAATAGGCCCACTCAGTGTGTTTCAGTAATGTCATTACCACTCTCAAATCCCCCCAAGTTTCGCTTGCACTCTTTCTCAACGCTGACAACTACGTTTTCACCACACCCTTACACTGCCGGCCCTCCCTGCTAACCCCCCTCGCGTCGGACCTCGCACCCATTCCTGTTCCGCTTGTCCCCTGTACCTTACCCTCTTCATCACTGCTGCGGTTCCTCGTGCACCTACTATTTGGCCGTCTCCTCCCCACTGTGCCGGTAATGTGCCCGCCCTCCTTCTACGCCTATGTTGGCCTGCTACGCCGCTTGATCCCCCCCCTATCCTCGCATTCGCGGTCTCGGACCTTTCGCCGGGAAGTGTCATTCCACATTCACGTGTTTGCAACTTGCCCTACACTAAGGATTATTTTTTTCTTAACTTAGTCCTACGTCCTTATCCTGCATTGAGTCTTACAACTGGTCCCTGTTATGTCAAAGAATCTCTCTACTCGCTCCGTGAAGACTAGTCTCGCTTCGGTTTCGTTCTTTGTCTTTCTTGCGTCGCTGTGTTTTATGATCGAGGTCAGCCTCCACCAAAATAGTCCACGACCCCTCCTTCTTTCTCCTAATTCGCCCTACAATTTCCTTTTTTTATTAGTGTTTCTTCAGTGTATAAACAACCTAGATTCTCATAGAAAAAGCTTCAGGGGTGACACGTAGCACATGAAAGTGATGATAACGATAAGAATATGATAATAATAAATTATTTTATCCTATTATTAAAAAGTATAAACCATATTTAATTGTTATTTGATGAACAATTAAAATAATTTTTATAATCTAAAGAATCTAATTGAAAATCAAGTAATTGGTAAAATATACCAAAAGAGTACAAAATATAATAAACTGAAGGTAAAAAATATTTTATATGATGAAAATATCTACAGAACATGTAGAAGACATAGTATTCTAATTATCTGAATGATTAAAATTTATAATGAAATAAGATATTTAATTCGTTATCTATAATCTCATTTCTGATCTCTTGTAAATTTTATTTAAATGATAATACTGATAGCAAACTCTGTTTGTAAATAATATAAATAATTATTAAATCTATTTTCATTAATAAATTATTTGTAATTAAATAAGTATTAAATTTTTTTTAAAACTCATTTATTAAATGTGTAATAATTAAAGCGACTTACTTACATTTGAAGTATTTTTTTGATATATAATATATCAATTAATATTTCAAGAATATTATACAAGAAACTTACGTATTAAACTTTGTCAATAACTAAAAAAACATATAAAGATGAAAATTCATTACTAATTGCTATACTAATTTTATGATAAATATTTCAGTCTACTTCTCATAATTATCAAGAGTCGAAGTTGTGGTTAACTCTTCTGTAACAGTCGGTATTAACTCTGATTCAATCTCATTCACTGGATTAAGAGTTTTTGAAAAAGTGTTTCCTATTTCTTCAATATTTGACTCGACCATATAAACTTGAACAACTGTTTTTCCAGGTTCTTCCGCTGACTCATTTGACACTATCACCAATGATCCTGGTTCTACGGAACTAATGTCGGGCACTGAAGTTCCAATACTTTCTATAATCATTGCTTGGTCATTTTCAGTCTCTATCGATTGACTTTCGTTTGTTTCAAATAATTCTACACTTGCGTTATTCGTTGTACTTTCTTTCATAATTTTCTTTTTTGGTTTATTATCTTTAAAAACACTATCAAGAATCTGCTTTGCTCGATTTTTAGTTTTTGATTTGGGAGTTCTTCCAGAACGAGTTGGTCGTGGTCGATAGACTTCTGTACCACTATCACTATCTGTATCATCACATGCATCACAATCAGATTCACCTGAAGATAACACCGACATTTTTGATGTTTTTGACACTTTTTCTTTACTAAAATTTTTTCGTTTTCTAGGCAGTTTTTTTACTTCTTTTTCAATTTTTTCATCAGTTTCTGAAGGTTTACCAGCATCACCGAGGCTAGTAACTGCCATTCTACGAAATAATCTACGTCTTTTAATGACTTTTTCTTCAATCACAGGTGGAGATTTTTCTAAACTTTCTTCAAATTTTTCAAACGTCTCCAAATCTTGCTTTAAAGTATCAACATCGAAATCTAATTTACTACTTAAAGCCTTTTCAACAAGTTTTCTATTTAATTTTTCTTCTTTTTTAAATTTCATTTTTATTTCTTGCCGAGATCGATTTGTAAATAAACTTTGCATGAGTAAAAAATCAGTACCAATTGTACTTAATGCTTTATAAAATTTAATTGTTTCCCATTTGGGCCATTCTTTAACTCTCTTTCTTTTTTTATAAAACCCTCCACCAAAACTGCCATCATCGTCAACAATAGCCTGGCGTTTTGCTAGAGCTTCTCGATTTTTCTTTACTCCAGTTCTTTCAATGACAAGACTTTGCTCGTCTATAATTAACTGACCATCAGGACCTACTTTAACTTGAGGTACAGGCATTGCAGTTTCTGTTGGATCATCTACTTCTTCTTCAGTTTGTTCATCAGTATTCCTGAAAAAAAGGTTATAAAGTAGTTAATCGCTAATCACCTAAATTAAACAAGCTAAAGAATAATTGTTTAGTCTTACGTTTCTGGTACAGTGTTATTTATCGGAGAATCACCCGTTTTTTTCATAGGATTTGAAGCAGGATTGTAATAAATTAAATCATACATTGTTAGCTTTGTTCTATCTGGCTGCTTATTTTCATGCTTCAGCTGAAATTCTCTTCTTGCTTCTGCTAATTTTCTAGTTGACTCAGATATAACCATTTTTCGTTTTTGTTTCATAATAATTTTGGAATTTGCACCACTTGAATTATTAGAAACATTATTATTAATATTATTACTATTAGTTTCATTGTCAACACCATTTTGTGATGAATTGTCTGATGTTTTAAGATGATTTGTTGAATTTGTATTTCGACGTGTGTCATCTTCAGATTCACTTGCACTTGCTCCACTCCCTTGAATGCTATTTCTTCTAATTCTTCCATGTCCATCTAATCGAGGAACTGGCCTCATAAAACAAACTCGGCTTGTTATTGCTTTTGATGGAGAACTTGATATTTCAGTAGTTGATGTTGGTGGTTTTACTTCAACATTTTCAATTACTTTTGGCTTTTTTGCTTCAGCTGGAACAGATGGATCGAGATTGACAAACGTGATTACTGGTTCTGCTTTTTGAGAGTCACATGTTTTTTCTTTTTCAGTAGTATTTTTGACTTGTTCATCAATTATTTGAATATTTGTCGATTCAGATTGCTTTATTATTTCTTCATTAACTGGATCTTTATCAACTCCTTTATCATCATTCTTCTTATTTTCATCATTGGCAGATTGCTCTAATTTTTTAGCATTTTCTAATTGAAATTTACGTCTAACTGGAATATTAGCTGTTGCTATAATTCGTGCACGTCTCATTGTATATATTTTTATTTTCAAAATTGAACTTCAGAAACACATTAATGACTTATTATCGTAACATCACTGATGATAGTTGAACATGTGATTTGTAAGCAGCTGTTCACGAAGTATTGTATGTAGCCCACGTTTTCTAAAGGCTGTTTCTAACTTGCGAATATTTTTACCGACTGTGGTATTATTTTTTTCAATCTTCTAAATTGCCTCATCTGCGCAGACATGACCTACATTAATTTTCTCTGCGCATATAAGACCAAAAAAAAAAGAAAACGCTTCTTTCTTTACAAATGATAGAAAATAATTATTAAAATATTTTTTAGAATCATTCCTAATTATCATAATAAATTTTTTACCTAAGGATAAAGTTGTTTATTTAAAAAACAATAACATCTTTGTGATAATATTTAATTACATTTTCTATCACAAATTATAATTTTCGAGTGATAAATAAAATATTTAATAAATATAAATTAACTAATTATTATTTTCAGCATGACATAACGTAGAAAGTATATCTCCATATTTTTGTATATTAAGTTCAAATGTTTCTAATTGTTTTGTAAGATCACCAACTTGTTCAGCTAACGTTTTCTCTTCATTAAATGCTTGTAACGGTGGTGCACTTTGACACTCTCGATAAAAAGCACCTAAGTCACTGTTTGAATTTGTTCCAGCAAATGGGGTTTTCTATATAAAAAATTAATTTAAGTAATTTACACAAATATATATGTCGATAATTTTATAAAAAATCAGCACTGAAAATCTTTCGATAAAAACTTAGCACCAAAATACGTCATTTTTAAAGAAATCTAAATTTGTATAAATATTCTAAAACTTTCAGAAGCTTGATATTTTATAAAATTGTTCAAATATAAATGTATAATATAAATAATTACCAAATCGACCATGATAAAATCATCGTTAGCACTTGTTACCGAACAACTACTCCTTCTTGATTCACTTTTGGAGTTACATTTAAATGTAGCAATGTCTACTGGACACTTATTATTTCCATTATTAGCATCAGATGATATACCAACACCATTCAATGAAACCCCGAGAACTGGTGCCATATTTGAAGATGGATATTGTTGTAATGAAGAGTACTGTATTTCATACGGGATGCTCAATGGTAAAAGAGTCTGTTTTGGTGTTAGTAATGAACTAAAAGGAACATCTGGAATCACTAAGTCTTCTTCTTTTACAACTTTCTGCTTATTTACAACAAAAGCTCCTACTTTAATAGTATCACTTAATGACTTTGATATTTCTTCACTGAAAAAATTAAAAACTTTGTCAGTTTTACATGTCAATTTTAAATTAAAACAAATATTCTTCCTTACTTTAAAACTAAGTTTAACCATGATTATCTTATAATTTTTAATCACTTAAAAAACTACCAATTTCTCAATTAATTTATAAATATATCCGATAATTGTGGTATTAAAATAACGTTCATGCTGCGCAAGATTACTATTAAGAAAAATTTTACTGATGTCTCAATGAGATTAACTTAAAATAAAACTGTCATCGAATTATCACTAGGTTTGTCATGGTTCATGGCCATTAGAAGGCTATAATAGAAAATAATTATTTATTCTCTATCGAATGACATTTTTTAAATAGCTTCCACTGCCATTAGTAGTAGACAATAAACTCAAAGTAAGTCTAGCTTTAATGTTGAAAATACGAACCTATGTTGGTATCTAGCAAGTCTAGGGCTAAAATCTGAATAGAAATGATCACTTTTCAGCATGATAGTATCATGACTTGTCTGTGTTGGGGAAATGGTCATTTTAGTTCGATAGCACACCGAAGAATGTACAGTTCCAACAGGTGTACATAATTGACCTACTCGTATGTGCTTATAATTTTCTCCTGAAATTAAAATCAACCAAATTTGAAATTTAAATGAAAATAAACTATGAAAATGGATCATTAATTGCTTCTTTTAACTTTTAAACATCTTATGATGTAGCAAAAGAAATGATATAATTAAAAATAACGTACCTAATGTATGTAACTGTGGTTCACCCATATATATTCTATAACAAATCACATATGCATCAGGCCCTTGTCTACGACTTAATTTATAAGCTGGAATCATTCTTGAAATAGTAACTAATGATTTAAGTAATATTCCCATTCTGTTGTAAACAGTATGAGTTACTCTAACAGAAGGATCACTTTGTTCAGTCAAAACTCCTAGACTCCACGTTTCTAATACCATCGTATCGCCTTCAACCGTCCGTAAAGATATTTCTATGCATAGAGGCATAGGAGAGCTTATTATGTCTCCACATAATACTTTCTTTGCTTCTGTTAATACTTCAGGTAAATCGTGAACAGCTAAGTTGAACTGTAAAATATTTTTAGAATAAAATTATTTGGAAAAATAGTACATTAATGCTATTGATAAAAATTAGTTCATATTAATGATTGAAATTGGTAAAAATAAGAGATTTTAATGGCATTTAAGCAATATAGTACTTGTTGATGGTAGATTCATCTTCAATCATATGGTAAGATATGATAAGATCAATGTCAACATTCAGTTGTCATTTCCGAAGTTTTAGACAACATAATTTTGAATATCAAGAAAGGGAATTATATAAAATTTGATAGAAAATATTATAAGTCATAAAACATTTTAATCTTTGTGTCTATTATTTAAAGTCCACTTACCCAATCTGTTCCTGAAGAATCTGGTTTACATTTTGTTATAACCTTCTCTCCAGATCTTGACTGAACAATTATTTGTGCTGCTTTTAATGCTAAAAACTTCATAAATTTATCTAAATCTTTTTTATCTTGTGTACTAAATTTTCCAGTAGACATTTTTATATTTACATTTACATTTATTTAATGTATAAACTTATAAATTTATTATAAAATATATCAACGCTTGAAGTCAAACTGAGGAAAGTCGAGACTGTTGTTGCGCGACAATTCTCTAAGGTGATTTTTTTAGTCACTCATGAGTATATCTTTAGATAGATATGTATCAAAAACAACTATACAACAAATATGTAATAGAGAAAGAAAGATTGAGAATAACAATGATGTATTTTTTTGCAAACTATGTACTTAACCATCATATTTAGTATGACAGAGATCAAAGAATACTATCTTACCTACTTTCTATTTCTGTTTTACCGATGCGGTTGAACGAGAGTCATGTTCAAAATTGAATAAATTTAGATAAATCTCATCAAGTATCAATAAAATTCTCTTGTAAAGAATATTTTAATAAAGTATAAACAATTTTTATGACACCATTATCCAAAAAATTTAAATGTTGAGAAAAGTATTAATACATTCCCTGTAACTGATGCATATAAAAGATATAATGTGAAACTTTTTATAAACCTGTATCATTGCATTATTTATTTATAATGAATTGTTGATATTTTTGTCATTAAATTGTCATCAATATCAATTATGATGCAGGTATTGTAATTTTTATTTCTCATTCGAAGGTTATGGTTGAATAAAATTTTACTTACAATGGATATTCATGATAATCCATGCTTATCAAGTGTTTTAAAATTTATAAAATATAATATCTTATTATTTCTGTATTATTTTTAAAAAGTATTATTGACAAATCGACATTCATAAATACTTTGATCAGCAGGGTTGTATCCCCGGCAACGCAACGATGTTTCTGCTCCACACAAGTGGGTAATTGCTTAAAATCTAGTGTAAAAGTGTTTCAATTTTTCAAAGAAAAAAAAAACAGCAAAAGAGCAGAAAAAAAATTTTATTTCCTTCTGACACGTAAGATCTAACCTATTTGTAATCTTTGATTACTAATATTAGGGATAATTTATCATCCAGTTTTGATACATTTTTAGAAATTATCGATATATTCAGACAGCTCATTTATTATGAAATATCATTGAAATACGACAATGACAATAAATTTAATTGCGATCACTTATATTGTCTGCATAAATTAGAAGTCCCCATGCAAGTATCACGAATATTGTGGCGTGCATCCAAGATCAACCTCTATAATGAGCATCTATTGATCCTATAATATTAACTAGTTATTACAATATAAATGATTATGTGCATATGTAAAGTCATTTTTAGATAAAATGTATCAAACTCAATTTTGTCCTAGATGTAACAAATAAAAAAATATATCATTATTTATAAACATCTTTTGTTTCAGGACTTTAACTACTGGTTTCATGCTACAAAAAATTTATGAATGATAATTACCACGTTTCTTTTGACGAAGATAAATTAAAACTTTGCTTGAACTCTCAACAAAACTATTTAAAAGGTAACTGAGCGTTTATTGTTTCATAATTAACCATTACGAACAACAGGAAAAAAATAACTTGACTATTCTAAGAAAAAATATTTTTATGTATAAAAGAAACTAAAAAAAAGTTTTTCAATGCCGATTATTATTTAACATTATTTATTGAAGGTTTTAAATGTAAGATATTGAATAATTATTGATAATTATTAATTTGAAAAATGGTTTATATTTAAAGCATATTAAAACACATAGTCTTTGGCAATTTATTGAAGCTAAATCATAGATGAGTATGAAAGAAAATAGTTTGATGAGAAGGCTACGTAATAAATATAAAATAAATATCATTTAGAATAGTTTGATTGTGATAAGCTAAGAGAAATAAAAGAGGTAGAAACATATGTTCACCTTCGTCTTATTCAAACTCCTTCCAAGTCTACTATAATTATCCTGGCGTGTTTGGTCTCGTGTAATACACAGGGAGAAACAGAAATAACAAAGAAAGACTAATATTTATCTATGCGACGTCGCGTGCCTTGCTCTATGTCTCCACCATCCTAAGAACTCAAAGCACGCTAAAAGCTTCACTAAAACCGCTATAAATTCCGTGACAATTCCGCAGTTTGCTTTTGTACATCAAAGTGAACGCACTCTTTTAATTCTTTTCTTCTTACTTAATCATTTGTTATCATAAAATTTATCTATTAATTAATACTTGCAACATTTTGCAATCAAAATGTTGGCTAAAAAGAAGGTAACTTTGATTATTCAGGATGTTGATTGATGTTAATCATTGTTTTAATTTTTTCAGGCTGGTATTAATAAGGGTAGAAGAATGGCGAAGAAAAATGTTCCAGCAGCTTTGCAGATTGAAGTTAATAATGATGAAGAATGGGCTAAATTTTTGGAGAAAAAAGGTCTTCTAGGTATTGCTATGAATTAAGAATTATTTTCAATGTTAAAACACTAGACTTTATCATGATGTTTTTGTAGTTGTGGATGTCTATTCAGATTGGAGTGGACCGTGTACTGGGATGGTGAGTATTTTGAAGAAGATTAAAATGGAAATTGGAGGAGATTTACTTGTGTATGCAACGGTAATACACTTTATCTAATGTAAATAACAAAAAAATTATATAAATATTTTTATATTAAACAAATAACTGATGATTTCAGGCTAAATGTGATAATATTGCTGATCTTGCACGATTCAGAGGCAAAAGTGAACCTACATGGATGTTCATTCAAGTAAATATTCTACAATTTATTTATTTAATTAATTATTATTCTAAAATTATTCTCTAAATAATGGTTTAGGATAGTAAAATGGTAAACTTAATGTTCGGTGCATACTGCCCAGAGCTTCAGAAAATGCTGACTGATGAAATTCATCGTGTTCAAAATAATGAACCACCAATGTACGTAAGATTTATTTTAGATAATAATTTGTTAATAATAATGATTAATTATTATTACTCCGGAATAGTTTTAGTATTCCAGTAAGTGAACCAAGTCCAGAAGAACAAAAACGTCTACAGATTCTAGAGGAAGAACGTCTAGCCAAGGAAGCAGCAAAAAAAGCACAGAAAGAAGCATTGATAAAATCTCGATACGAAGCTGAAATAAATCATTTTACAGAATCTTTAAAAGATCAAACATGTTTAATATTATATCCTTGGGTCTTTAAAGATGAAGAAGGTCATAGACGGGATAAAAAAAGTAGTCCACCTTATATTGATTTAATTGAAAATATTCTTCCAAATAATTTTACAGTAGAACAGGAATTACGTAAAAATTTAAACGAAGAATTAATCATGGAAATTTTGAATGAAGTAATTTAAAATATCAAGACCAATATTCTGTAAAATAAAAAGTAAAAATGAAAATTCTTTGAATGTTACAGTCTGGTTGGGAAATAGATAAAAATGTTCAAGAAATTATGATAGACGGAAAATGTCTATTTATGAGATTAAAAATGTGTGACAATGTCAAAGAAATTGAAGTGGAAAAGCATCTTTTAAATTTGTTATTCAATGAACCTAAACTTCCTGCTTTAACAGATGAACTTCAACCAGATTGGTAAATTCAATTATTTGTCCTTGTATATTACATAATAAGATTTTTTTATAAGTTATTACGAATGCTATTTGGTTGATTTTTAATCCAAGTTTCGCCGAACGACATAAACCAGCATTCATCCTAGCCGGTAAAGAGTCTTGGACTTTTCCAGTTGTTTGGGCCACACCAAATTCAATGAATAAAATTATAATATTTAAAGCAATGTTCAGAAAATACCTCGATACAACATTTCCGGTAAAAATATTTTGATTAAACTTCTTTTTTCCATTATGAAAATAAATTATTGTTAATATTTTAGTATGAAGACAAAACAGATACTACACCGATCATGGTTTTCAAGTATGACAGTACAAGAAAGAGTGAATTAAAAGTTGTCTTGGAAATGCAAGAATCTGAAGTTGTACATTTTGGGATTTTTGAAAGAGATAAGCCACCGGATGCTAAACTAATTGCCACCAGCATTGATGAATATGAAGAAAAAGTTGAAGAAAAGACGGGGTACTTATGAAACTTAACTTGATAGAATTCTATAAAATAAATAAAAATTATTTAAGATGATTTCTTTAGGTATGAGGCTTTTGTTTGTGTCGTAAAAAAAGTGGGATCTGAAGCTTTTCTTACCTTTGCTGGTATTGGTCCTTATCATGTCAGTGAAAATCCAGAAATTGCGATAGAAGAATCCAAATCATATTTCCCAGATGTAACACTAGTAGATGATCAATCTGATGATGAAGAAAAAGCAGAAGATGCAGAAGGTGGTAATGCAGAAGCAGTACAACCTGATGAACAGGTAAGCCAATGAAATAATACTCCAATAATAAATATCTAACTTCATCTTGATTTGAACATCAATGATTAATTTTGTGCTCATAAAGCAAAGTACAGGAAAATGAGGTAATCAATGAGCTGATGTAGAAAAAAAGTGTAAATAAATAAGAAGAATTTTTTAAATGCCAGTGTCAACATTTATTTACCAAAAAGTCCTCTTCTTTTTCGAATGAAAAAAAAACATATGTAAATAAAAAGAAATAAATCTTTAGATCTTTAAATGTCTTTAAATAAATGGACACAGACAATTTATCTACTTCTTGTAACCACTACGCCTAAGACCACGTGCTCTCTCGAATTTCCTTCCCTTTGAGCGCACAAGAGGTTTAGTATGCGAGTGAGGTACACCTGGTGCTGGTCCAAAGTGTTTTACAGCTTCACGAGCATTACGACGTCCTTGCATTAAAACTGTTTTTCGTCCAGTTGGTGCTCTTAAAGCAAGTTGATCAAAAGTAATTATTTCACCTCCAGCTTTGAGAATACGACCACGAGCTTTTTCAGTCACTCGAAGAGCGCAGACCTTTGGAATAAAAATTAATTAATAAATATTATAATAAAAATTTTTTTTTTTTAGTTCAATTGATACTCACTGTCATCTTTGGAATTTCAAAGATTCTGGCGTCATCAGTAACAGTACCAACAATCACTGCAATGCAGTTCTCTCGGTTGGGTTTCTTCATGAATCTCACCACTCGGGCTAGAGATATTGGTGGTCGGTTTATTTTGCTCATAAAAAGACGTTTGAGGATAATCTTGTTGAATTTAGCATTGGTACGTCTTGCCAAAAAACGGTAGAGCTAAACAATTGAAAAAAATTTATTATATTATTATTCAGACACCTCGAGAAATCATGCTGTTATTACACTCTATAACAATAACTTTTAAATTATTTCATTTAATAATTCATAATTCTATGAAGTCCATTTTGGCAATTATTTAGTACGTGCTTAATTAATATAACAGCATAATTGAATTAAATATTAAATATAATAATAGCTATTTAATTTACTTTGGCATAAATCCCAATGCTCGTTAATATACAGTTTTTATCATAATAATATTGTCACAGTTATAAATGAATATTACAATGAAGTAAATTATTTAAATTATTAAATACAAATATTCATCCAATGTTTATTAAATATTAACCATTTAATGGTAAAAAATTTAACGGATAGTAAATGTTTTCAATAATTATTTCAATTAAATGGGTATTGGAGTAGATGTATGTTTCAACTAGTATAATTGATTCTCGGTAGAGTCCAAGAACCAGAATAGGAAAGTTGAGTTATTATAGCGAACGTTCAAATTGAATCAGCTCATTGTTAATTAGAAACTGACACAGAGTGCTGTTCGCATTGAAGACATGAATCCACGTGGGAAATAGATATAGCTAAATACATACGCTGACAAGAGTCGTAATTATAACCTAACATTTATTGATCTTTTGTGAACAATTTTTAATTTAGATTGAACAATTTTTTAATAGAATATTACATATAATTGAATTATTTTTATTATGGTTAATTATTTTTTTTTCATTGTTGAGCAAAAAAGTAATTTAAAAATACCTTGACAAGGAGTCGTAAGTAGACATCCTGAGATTTTGGTTCCGTTCGCCGGACTTTGCGGTCGTGTTTATGGTTGATATCAATACCCTATAAATAAATATAAACATTTTTAAATTACACAATATTAATATTTACACTAATCACTATAATAATTCACTTGAATATCATAAAATATTCGGATGGATACGGATGTAGATCGAAAATTATTTTGGCTAACCCCCTTACCATTTTGATAACACGGAAAAGAACACGATCCGATGACGAAGTGCTTGAGATGGAATCCGGAAGTTATAGATGGCGTTGTATGTATCATCTGATTCCCGCTTTTTAATTAAATTGTGATTAAAAACATTCACCAAAGTATTCCTTTCAATAATTTTACAAATATTATAAAAAATCTAAAATATATTTAAAAAATTTATAAAAATCATATTTATATTAATTGTAATAAATTTAATTTTGATTAATAAAATTCTTGACAAAAATATCAACTGTCGGTAATATAAGAGAAAATGGGATCATGTGTTCCATTGAAAAATAAATATCTCTGCAAGATGGCGGCACTCGTTTGTTATTGTCACAAAAAAGCCGGTTAGAATGAGATAAGAATAGGAAACAAGTGAAAGATAGAGACATGATATACACAGTGATGTTGGCATCTCCCTCCAGTGTCCTCCAGTAGCTCAACCGACGCTAACGTGAGAGGAGGTTTATTTAGATCCTTTTCGAACCCAGTAGTAAACGCTGATCAGTCAATCCTTTCACTTGAATGTGAATAAAGTGTATTTTTTTTGTCTAATATGAATAAATGATTAACCTTTCATTCAAGTAATAGTGTATCAATTGATATTACAAAAAAGGACAATAACCTTAAGTTGAAGATTATTAGGGCTAGGTGCATTTAGCCAATCTAGCTTCTCATACAGCAACTGTGTGTGCGATGAAAGAACGTGAGGGGACGAAAAGTGCCTTGCACCCCCTTGACATTTAGTCCAAGTGGTGCACCCCAGCTAACCTGAAGTGTAAAGAATCTCTCCTATGACTAATTAATCTTTATCATTTATCAACACTTATGCAAGTGTCTAGACCAATATGGCATAAAGAGATTTAATTTGCTTTTGATAGCTTGTTAATTGTGATAAAAAGTTAACAATATTATCAAAAAAAAAAAAATATCTACAATTATTTTTAACAGTCAATTAAATTTCATAAAAAAGGTAAAAAACTGTTCATATAATGAATCAAATCATAACAAATCAATTTAACGGTTTGTTTACTATAGTTCACAGATAGTAAGTGAATTCTTTAAATTACTACTTGAGCTAATAAATTAATTGAGTCAATATAGTCATTTAAATGACTAAAATAAGGAAATCATTTTCTTTATTAAAGTTAAAATGTCATCATTCCGTTTGTATCTTTCCCGCTTAAGAATTAAGTAAAACGTGATAAAGATTGAAAATAAATTTTGTTAATTATTGTTGGTTATATATAACAATTGTTAATTATTGTTATTAATTAAAATAATGGATGAAGAAGGGCAATTAAAATCGAGTACACTACTCGAGGAAACATTTTATATAACATCAAAAAAAAATACTTATTATAAAGTAAAATTATCTGAAAAGGGATTAAGTCTTCAGAAAGAAAGTAATGGAGCCACGAAAACAGAAACAATTACTTTAAATGATATCATTGGATGTCGATGCATGAGATCCAAACGTAAAGCAACTGCTAGTTGTGCTTGTCGTCCAACTATTTCAAAACCTCAAATGAGAGTTGTTGAATCTAATGAAAATTATCATGTTTGGGATGAACTTGACACATCAGCTTACCTATATATTTATACATATACATTGAAAAAAGCCCGCGTTAAAGGAGCAAGAAGACGAGAAAAAACCACGATAACACTCAGGTTTCGGAGTTTTGATAAATATGAAGATAATCTTAGAGAAGCTAGTAGATGGAGACTTGCTATTAAATGTCTTGTAAATAAAGTTCCAATTCCTAAGAATCTGATGAGTCCAAGTCATGGAAATTTAGATTCGCTTTTAAGTGGTAAGTTTTTTGTTTATTTATTAGAAATAAATATTTTTTAAGAAATTATCATGTTTTATAGAATTAATGACTTAGAATTGTTTTAATAACATTAATAATAAATCGTTTATTAATTCCTGTTGTAGAGTGATGTTTTGATGATAAAGTTGATAGATTTTTTTATTTAAAAACAATAAATCTTCTTTAATGTTGGTTTGAAAAAGAACAAGTCAATCAATCTGTGATTTAAATAGAAACTTGAATTGAATTTTATAAAAACAATCAGTGCAGTATCTTTTGATATTTTTAATGAAAGAGTTAAATCATGAAGTTGATGAAAGAGATTGTATTTCAACGAAAAAGTTTGCACATTCAGTTAATAGATAAAAATATAAATTATTTTTATAAACTGTTAATGAATTTTATTTAATATTGGTGAGGGTCATTTTTAATGGAATGATGGGTTTCATTGTTTTGAATGATGTTAAATGAATTTTTCAAAATGTGTAAAAATTTGTTTTATCATTTATTATTGAATTTCATGTAAATCAATCATTAATTGAATATTTAAAACTCTCTATTAGATAAAAGAGTTACTTTCTACTTTCGATTAATTACACGTTAATTAGAATATCAAATTAATAGCATACATTTTTTTTATTTAGAAGCAAATTGTTTTCAAATAAAAGATTTAATTGGTAGAAAAAAAATGTAATGTAAAGTAAATAATAATAGATCACTGAATGTAAGTTTGAAGTAGTAGCAAGAGAACTCTGTTCAGTTCCATTAATCAATGCACTGAGGGAAAAAAATTCTGCTTCCAAGATAAAACTACTTGATTCAAATCATTTTGCTTCTATACAAGCAGAAAAATCATATGAAATAGATATTTTTATTTGAATCAAGCTTTTTTTTTCCTGCTAAGAAGCAAAATTTTTTACTCTTAGTTTTGTAGATCATATTACCATATTTTATAATAATAATGATTTTGGACTTTGAATTATTTATACAATAATTTAAATGACATTTTTATATTAAGAAATGACGCATTTTCGTAAAAATAATGGCATTGCACCTAAAAAAGTTCTGACAGTTACAAGTAGATAATACTCGAATGAACCATACTTTTTGTATTACTGCGCAGTCAATTTTGTAATGACAATCATTTGTGTCTGGATTTTGAGAGCAACATTGGAATTCTTTTTATATATTTTATTCATTGTCAATATATCAATACTCATAATACACAAAAGCTATTTTGCTTTATAAAAATTAAATGAAAATAATTTTGAATGCATAATTAAAATTATATAAATATTTTTTTTCAATAATTAAAAATGAAAGGATAAAAAAAGATAAATAGTCTGATAATGTTTTTAATTTTTTTTTATAATTAAAATGATCAGTTCTGACTAAACCAGCACTTATATTGACCAGTATTATTTATGTTTTATATTATTTGTAACAATGAAGTCTTTTGAGTTTAGATTGGCTAGAGCCAGAGCACGAGTTTGTTGTTATTGTTTTTTTTTAACTACTAGTCATTAACAATGTAATACTTTTTTTGCGCTTTTAGGGTTTAGATATTCAATTTGTTTCTCAGTAGCAACTATCCTATATGATGTGGCTCTAACTTTAGAGTGCATATTAATCTACTTACAAGAGTTCACTTTAAATTTGATCTTCCCATGGTTTAATTATATTTAGAATTTTTATTAAACAATTGCTCGAACAATATCATTTATAAATATTAATAAATATTGTGATATAGTAATATTTAGAAATCAAAATGAATATTTTTAAAAATTATTCATCATTTTATTTAATAAAATATTGTATTGATATTGGTAATTTTTTTCTCAATGTATTACTTTCTTTTTATTAGTATTATTACTGAGAAAAATAATTACTTTCAACTAGATAAACAATTTTGTTTTTCAAAAAATATTTTAATGTTTTTGAAACACGTATAATGTTGAACATGGTATAAAAATTTATCTCATAGATTAATGATCAAGTTGTACAAGCTGACAATGAGTTTCTAATCATCTTGAATATTTCTTAAAGATAATATTTCAAACTTAAATACATTTGTTCAAAAAAATATTTAAAGGCCCCATACAAATATTAAAATGGTCATTAGTTTATAATTAATATTGATACATCGTTTCTTTTTGAATGTAATACTTGATTAAATTATTTGAATGAGTAACCGATTAAATATTATCTAAAATTCTTTGTTATTTCAAAATAGTTATTGATAACATGTTATACGAGTTATTTTGTTCAAATATGATCCTATGTCTATTATGAAGATATAAAGTAACTTAATGTCTATTAAAATATTGAAATATTAAACTATCGAGAATATTTATCGTTATTCACTTGGATATTGACAAATGACCTAATAATCTCGTTGCCATGTTCAACATACACACCTTGATAGCTTTATCCAACGTATGATGAACAGCTGATAATGACTAAATATGCAAAATTGAATTATCCATTCAGACAAGCGTGTTAACCATCAATGTTCATGGTTATTGAAAATTAACAATTTTTTAAATCATACAGTTTCGATTCTATCTAATGTAATTTTTAAATTAATAAATTGTAGTATGGGCCCTTCTGGGTTCCATCCAGACCAATATTTTTTTTGATCTAATTGTTGTTGAAACATCAAAGTCTATTTATCTCTTATCAGAATTGATTAAAAATTTTTTTATAAATAAATATTACATTTATTTTTAAGTAATCAAATCAAATTGATTTAATCACCGGATATCTTTTCTCTCAATGAACTCAAATAAACGAAAGATGCACTCGTTATTTACAAATATTTTTGATAAAATATCAATCTGCACTGGTAAGAGCAAAGATGAAATATATCTTTAATCTGAATAATAAATTCATTGATATAAAATCATTTTTATATCTGTCGAAAAACATGTCGATAAAAAAATTTGATGAGGAAAATGATTTCTATCTCGTTTTGGAATAAATTTCGTGGAAAGTTGAAATGCAACAGCGGTAAATAAACGGTAAACATTAAATTACTTTTTCGTCGTTCACTTCTTTTTATCTTTCAAGTTGTTTTTCTTCTTATCTTCCTTCAACTGTGTATGCACTTGGAAAAATTATATCTAAAAATCAAATACATACCATTTGAAATGTTTATTTATTCCAGTTTTATCAAAAAAATGTATCAATAACCTTACCATTTGAATCTACATGTCTAAGACTTGTTCTAACCTACATAAAATATTTCAATAGTCTGCATCATGACACAAAAGCGATGAATAATGTTTCCGATTAGAAATAAAAGAAAAAGGTGCTGAAAAAAAAGGAATATATCATCATTAGTGACTTGTGAGCAATGATAATTAGTAAAAAAAAATACATAAATATTCTGGTATTGGTAATAATGAAAATAAAAATGGTGACGAATTCTCATTTTCATGGCCGTTTGGTTAAACAAACATATATAAAGTTGTGTATGGCATCACATATATTGAACAGGATGCATTGGTATAAAGGCATGTGTGTGATGAGTACACGATGATTAACATTATGTAAGAATGCTGTAGATATCTCTGTAGCGTCACATGTATTATATTATGCTACTGTACTACTTCTCTCTCTCTCTCTCTCTCTCTCTCTCTCTCTCTCTCAGCACCTGCTTGTTGTCTGGAGAGCCTGTTTGAGGCAGTCCCAAGCCAGTTTATGAGATAAATTGATAAATAAAATATCAAGAAGGAGAATAAAGTCTGATCAAAGTTCCAAATGTATTAAAAGTTTCGATATACGTACTAACTAAAATTTTGTCTTGCAAACTTTACTCATTTTTTCTTTTCTTCTTAAAAAACAATTTTAAATTTAATAATTTATTTAGAATTTATAATATTTTCTTGTAAAAGTAAGTTTATGTTAAGTTTAAAAACCAAAATTACTTGGAAAATTAACTAGTAATACTTAGCAAATTGATAAAAGATACAGATGTTTAAATATTTCTTTATCACTTTATGCTTACTGATAATAAATTTTTATTGTGTTGAAAAATTTATGTAGAATTAAAAAATTTGGTCATTCAATTATAATTCATTCAAAATATTATTATACTGTATAGAAAGAATGGATCATTTTTTATGAGAAATTCTTATAGCAAGAATTAGTTTAATTATTAATTAAATAATTCAAATAATAATAAAACTTAGCTTAAGATTTATATTTATTATAAACTTAAACATGTGCTATGTTAAAAATTTTTAATTCTTATTTTATATAAATATTTTATTCCTTTATTATGTAAATTACTTATTAAAAGACCGTGCTAATTCTGTCATGTTTTCATATTGTGATAGTAAAATTCACTTGATATTTATTAGCACAAATTTTTTTTGTGCTATTTTTTTTTTAATTGCATAACTCATATACTGATTTTATCACAATAATATTCAACAGCAGTAATATCTATTTAATTAAAAAAAAAAAGAATAAATTTTAATAATAACTATGTTCAATATAATTATAATTGAGAATAATAATTTCTTTTTTATTGAGGATAAATTTTTTTTAATCCATGAATTAAATGCAAAAAAATTGGGTTTTAAAGCCTTGGAGTGTATAAAGATATAGAAGCTTTCTTCTATGACGTAAAAGTGCCCTTCACATATAAAACCGTGACCTTTTAATATTTTTTTTTACTTCCAAATATCTAAATATATCATCAATAATTATTTAAAGCCAAATTGAGTTTGGTTTATCGTAACTTTTATTGATTTATTTTTAAAAAATATTAATTAATTAATAAGATCTATTAATATTTAATTTATAATAATAAAACAATCAATACACGAATAGAAGCTTGAAATAAAAATTTCTATGGTGGACTGTAAACAAGTTCGACTCTAAACTTCATCGAAAAATTGGTTTAATTAGTTAAATATAACTTGTAATGTTAATTATAACATTTTAATTTAAAGGAGGAAAAATAATTTAAAATAAATAAACTTTGTTCTAGAGTTACAGCAAAATATGGTGAATTTAATTTCATATTTTATTTTTGATTAGAATAAAAATTAAATTAAAATTGCATTTTTTTTTTCAAACTTAATCTGAATGCTTAGCAAAAAAGCTAAAATAATTAGATACTTCATTTGCTTCTAGCTCTTTTAAATTCATTAAATACAAAAAGTTGATTTTATTTAAATTTGCAAAAATACTGGATACAATCTAATATTATAGCCACTTTTTCAAGATTAATACTAAGAAGTTGATAAATTTTTTAATCCCAACGACATTTTTCTACTAAAAATCTATCATCATCTAATGTCATCAAAATCACCAGAGATAAATATATTTTCTCATTCAATTTTTGATTGTATAAACATCTTGTGCTTATCACAACTTGAAATTGATAAAATTCCAAGTCTGAAATGAACTCTTATAAATTTCCCTAAGAGTTTTGCAATATTTATACTGTCCTATCAGCTATTCTCTTATCGATTATTCCATATGGTTGCACCAAAACTTGGAGCTTCTCTATGACGCAGACGAGGTTGGTTTGGCCGAGGTCTTTTCATCGGCCTTTATAGTACCGCTGCAATCCTGGTGAATGTACACGCGAGCTTTGGGAACAATCGCGATAAATTCACAAGTTTGATCTTAAAGGCGAAGAGGAAAAGAGGACGGTGTGGTCAGTAATATTGCTATCCCCTCAATGTCAATATAATTTTATGGCCTTCACTCTTACTTTTAGATTTAAATTATACTCCAGGTCACTGTAATTAAATCTTTTCCATGTCATAGCTGAACCCATTGACGATAAATTAACCGTGTGGGTCAATAAAAGTCGTTTTATTGAACCAGACAATCAGGTAATCAGACAAATTTAAAGTTTAAGTCCATCTGCCCTCTGATCTTGAAGTCTAAATACAACTGTAACATTCAATGTTGATATTAGTTTTATATTTTATTAATTCAGTTTTATTTAGAGTATTTTTTTTTTTAGAAATTACCAATATTTGTTAGGTAATTATTAAAGTTAAGTAAGTGAATCAGTAAATATTTACTGTTTTGTCAGTAGCTTTCAGTGATTTTTGTTCATTTACTTTTGAAAAGTAATAATCAATGTTGCAAAGTTATTTTATTTTGAAGTATGTTTTGGTTTCATTCCATTAAAAAGTTTAAATTCTGATAAGACGAAAAATAATGAATAATGGATATTTTTGAACATAAAGTATATTTTTATAAGTCATATGGACTTTTGCTGATTTTGATTAATGAGTTTCGTATGCTAAAAATGTTTTAAACTATTTAATGTCAAGGTTTTTTTTTTTGTTAAAATGAATATAAATATATTCATTAGCTATTTGAAATTTTTTTTAATAGATAAACCACTTAATTTTCAGATTAATTTACCAAATTATCAAATTATATTCGATATTAATAAACTAAAGTTACTCTATGATTTTATTTCATAGCTAATATAAATGCTACTTGGCATTTGTAACTCTAAATCTTTCTTTGTCTTCAGAATGCTTCAATTAAATATTCAAACATCATTCGGAATTGAACTTGATGCCAAATCTTCACAGATAACAAAATATAGTTGTTCAAGTCGAATACATAGAATTCAAATAGAAAAATTACTTTCTTTTAAGATATTTATTATTCCCAAATCAAATCCGACGTTTATTCACCTAAAAAAAGAAATAATCAGAAAATTGAGTATCAATAATTTGATCAATTATTTATATATTTTTTTAAATTTTTTAATGAAAAACTTACCAAGCAGAATTAATTAATTTCTTCTTGAATATTAAATCATGATATTTACAGGTGGTAAAAAAAATATACCAATTAAGTCTGAACTTCGATTTATGACATTGACGTCAACCGAGTAAAAAAGCATATATGTTCTCTTTTACCTCTGTTATTTTATTATTCTGTTTGTTTTATACATTTCGAAGACTTTATACTCAACGTTAAATTTCGTCGAAAAATAATTAAACCCTAACCTTGCTTAGTAAAGAAGCTTACACAGTACAGATACACGCTGAAAGTTATTGTCAACGGTCAAAGATTAAAACCGGATGGCAATGTTGATGATGATGATGATGTATTGAATAAATCCCAACGTTTGGTTTCTGAAGAATCAATTTATCATAATAAATAGCTGTTAACTTCAACATAGGTTATAAAATTATAAGATTAATCGAATCATCGTAACACATACTTACGATTTCTCAATGAAAAAATTGTTGGCGTCGTGCCAAAAATTATCGAGTAAAAGGTGTTCCTGGCAAGTGTTCAGTTCCTATCATATATTGTTCTGTGAAAATAATTGTCTTTCACTACTCAGATACTTCAGTTTTTCAATTTTTAGATAAAAGCAGACAGATTTTTTTATCATGACTATGTAAATTACTTACATACACATAAAATAAATAGAAAAAATTTTTGGCTACATCCAAGATGATGCAATTTTTATTTCAATTTGAAACAAGGAAAATTAACCTCTTCTTTTGATGGATATAATTTTAATTTAGCAATGAATTAATGCTTATTATTTAAGAATATATATAATTCCAAATCTTGCAGCATTTTTAACTCATTTTCAAACTCGTGATTGTGATAATAATAATTAATATTTTTATACAATCATATTTTTTGCTAAATACGGCCATTTGAGGGAGAATAGGGAAATCAGGCACTCACGCCCTCTGCTTTGTTTTGTTGGTATTGTTGTTATTACCCTAACCTTAAAATAAAAGAAATTTCGCTCAAGAAAATACATTTCAATTAACCAAAAATAATAAAAAATCATTATTATCGTTGTTAATTATCAACAATGTTTAAAGTATGTTTTAATATTTTACATTATTATTTAAGATGATTATATAATTTATTCTAAAATATGATTCAACAAGTGAGTTCAATTATATGCGTTGAAACGTTAGGATTACATCATTTCTTCACTTTCTCGTATAAAAATTTAATGTGTAGAAAATATTCAACATTTGATTTGAGTACTTTCAACATTAAATTCAAGTAATCAGTAAGAAATAAATATTTTTTTTTTCGAATTACCATATGAGGTTTCATATTATATTTATAATTCTGAAAAAAATATTTAAAATTATCATCTTTATATTCTGTTCTATTTACACTATTTTTATTTATTTAATTATTCAATTTTATCATTGTTCATATCTAATTGGCTTCAACCAAAGAAGGAAATTGTTTCAAATAGAAAAAATGGAACATGATGAAACCTACTTGAATTTTTTTTTCTCTATATGGAATGCGGTCAAGTTGATGACATTCTATTGACGGGAAGTGTTTTCAAAATAATTTTAAAAAAATTCTGTGGTAGTCTAACAATATTCAACTTGTTAGCTTCATTCATATTGATAAAAAGAACAATTACATCCACAAAAATATTATGTAAAAAATCGAAAAATTGTTTCTTGAAAAATTTTCCTTTCAACTAAACGACATTAAGTCTATTATTTTTTCAAACATAAATTTAGAATCCTTTTTATTTATACTCATTCGTTTTATATACGCAGATATTTATGAATATTTAAAATTATACATGATCAAAGTATTAAACTGGTTTTCTGAGTGATATCATTTAATAATCATGATCATTATATTTTTAAAATATAAATGTTTTAATATTTTTAAATAATTATTAATAAAATAAAAATAGTAATTTATTTTTATCGAATAATATTGACAGAAATATTGAATGATCAAAATGAAGCAGGTGGTCAAAAATGAACGAATTAATCAGGATTTTTTTAGGAAGTCATTTGAAATAAATAATTAAAATAACTGATGACCAATATCAAGTCTACTACTGATTAAAAAAAATAATCAACTTGGTATTAAAGATTGTGAAAATAATCACTGATTTATTTCAAATGACTGGTGTAAAATTGATGAATAAAATATTTCTGTATAAACATGAATCAAATCAAAGTAACTGTCAGAACAATTCAAAGTGATTTCAGATAAAGTATAGATGCTAATATAACAATGTGTAATTGCGTTGACAAAGTGACCGATAAGATTATAAAGGTAAAATAGGGAACAAAAGAAGCCAGCATAAGCTGTGTAAGTCACTTAGATTATTATTATAAAACATAGCTGGTATAATAGGCGTTTCACTGTTTTCCTTCCTTGATATTATGTACATATAGTATAATAAGCTATGCTGAGCACAGCATATAAACGTGTAACTATCCTACAGCCACTTACTGCACTCTCAATAACTGAACTTTCCATCCACGTGTGTTGGATCATAGATGCTATTATTACTGTTTTTCCTACATTATAACATAGCCCCGGAAGTCATGAAACTTGGAAAAGTTAGCATGCATCACGGAATAAAATATTCGATCTTGTGTGAAATGATTCTTGTTGAAAAGCGTGTGAAATATCGTTTAATATATATATTATTTATATTATTAGATTATAAATTGTTAAAATATTATAGTAATTATTTAATTATGTTAAACATAAATTTAAATATTTAAGTAAGAAATTGTTTTAAATTATTTTAAAATTGTAAATTGAATTTATTTTTTTTTATTAAGACTAGAAAAATATTGTGAAAATGTTATTCTATGTAGTAATGTCTTTACATAAATATGATATAACAGAGAACTAAAAAAATAATTGTAACGAATGATGATGAATTATTGTATATAAAATGTAATTATGGTATTGAGTATCAATATTCATAAAAAAAAATATTATTTGCAATATATCTAAATCGGTCCTGTAAATAATAATAGATAAAAAAATTGATAGTTTGTTAATGATAGCTTATCTTGATATGAGTTTTAATCCATAAATTAAATATCACTCAATAGAAATGATTGTTATTCAAATTCAAACATGTAGTATTAAAATGGTTATTAAGAACCTTGGATTGGAGAAGAGCTAGTAAGCATAAGATTGATAGATATAATTCAAAAATACTCATTTATATAATAAAAAGTAAATTAATCATAAAAATGTTTTACAATGTCATCATGTAAAAATGTCATAATCAAGGAAACTAAAATAGAAGTTAGCTATTGTTCTTCGTACAATACTAATTTTTAATTAAAAAAAAAATTGGGCTGCCTCTGCCCTCGAATCCTAGAAAGTAAAAAATTACATTTTCGATATTTCTGCGGTAGTGAAGCAAGAGTTGGATAAACTTTTTCTATTACAAAGCTTCCAAAGTTACAAATGAAAAAGTATTATCAAAAAAGTAGAAGTACTATTAAGATTGTTATTGTGATACAAAAATGCCTTTATTGGTTTCGAACTAATTCTTTGATTTCATTTTGTAAGCCATAAGAAGTGTGAATAGGTCATTGTTTATAGCATTAACTAGTAATTTAAGTTTATAATATTTTACTATTTTTAATCATATTTGAAATAAATTATAATTAAAAATAATTGTGCGATTACTCAAAGTAGTTGATGTTAACAAAAAAATTGATATTTTATACTTGAAGATAAATCGTAAAGAAAATAAAAAACAAAATTATCCAAGTATCTTGAAGTAATTAACATCATAATTCTTGTTACTTATTATGTTCAATGTTGACATAAAATCTACTATGTAATGAATTCTGTTGTTATATTGAATCAGATAAAAATTTCAATCAAGTTTTTATATTAGCAAATGAGCAAATGGTTCGTAAATTATGTAACTATCATAATGGTCGGTAATAACAAGAGCCACCAATAATCATCATATAATGTACACTTTAATGGTATATTTTTCTATCATACTTATTGAAACTTTGATAGTGATTATATAGCATAACAGGAATTAATAATACATACTCATCATTATAAGAAACTAATATTATGTATCGAATATCGAAAAAACTTGCAATAGTTTAGATTATTGAATAAAGAAAAATAATAATGACAGGAAGTTCTAGTGTATCTGTCGATTGTTGACAGAAAAAATGATAGGAATAACAAGAATATTAAAAATACCATGGATTAATGATCTATATTATTTATTTTTTATATTTAATTATTTGAAACTTGTCGTTGAGTCTCTAGCTAAAGTAAAAAAAAACATTTATTTATGTACATAAAGAAATATTTGGTTTAACTAAGCTTTAGATGAGGTACGAAAAGTGTAATAGAATTAATTATCATCAAAAGGTTGAATATAAAACTGGTTTTTATTTTTGAATGACTCGTATAATATTTGATCTTAACTAGTTTTCTAAATTTTTGAAAGTTAATTCTCAGCACAAAGAATGATGATGTATTTAATTTTATTTATGAAATGTACAAAATTATTTATCCAAGTACATGCTTGTACACATGAACATTTAATCTGACATCACAGAACAAGAGTAATTTAAAAAAATATACGACTGCCAAGGAAGAGAATGATGTACTTAAAAGCTCGTGATTTAATAAAGGGAAAAAGAGTAACAAAGTGAGAGAGATTTATAGAAAATTTCCTTTTACACTGAAAATAATTACTAATAATCTTATAAGATGTGATAATAAAATCTAAAGTGTAGATCAGATTATTGTATTTAAGCCTAATCATTTTTCAGAGTCAGAATAATTAATAATAATTCATCATCAACATCTGTGATTAATATTAATTTCTATCTAGATATTAAAGAGTGGATAAAATTATTGAATACTTTGCTTTTTTAAATGTATTATAATTTTACTAATTATCAAGTTTAGTCAAATTTCACTGATGTTCATGTCTAGAGTATTAATAATAAGTTTAACAATAGGAGTGGTTCAAAATTTATTTGATGTATAACAACAAGTTAAAATTTGACTAAAACTTTCAGTAATTATCCACTAATTGGTGGTGGTATACTTGGCATTATTTCAATCAGTGAATAATAATTGAATATCAGTAACTATTATTTAGTTAAGACTCAAAAGGTTCATAAGTTGAAAATCGATACCATTGCAATTACTTCCTAAAAACAAATTGATAAAATATTTATAAATAAATATTTGTGAAATTGCTGTACAGTTCAAAATATAATCCATAAGAGTTTTAAAGAGAAGCTTAATACTTACTAAAAATGAAATGGTGAATATTGAATGATAACTACGAATAATAAATAATGAATGAATGAATATTTACTGTTAGCGATTGTGAGTATTGGACTGATTTAAACAGCAATAGTTTTATAACTGCAAATTTATAAATGAATACTCTTTTGCACTTATATTTTCACTTCATTCATTTCTAGAAAATAAATAAAAATAATCAGTGATCATGAATGCTAAGTTTATCATTAAATAAATTACTTTTTAATTGGAATTATTACAATTGAAAAATATTGATTATTAATCATTATTATTGATTTATCTTCACAAAGTAGCATGAAATGCTACACAAAATTAGGTATTTTAAAACTATTCTACAAAAGTTTGCTAGCAAAACTCAAACAACGGCATTTTGAATTGAGGTTATAATTAATTGTAAAAGTTATTAAGAACAATTTTATTCAGGAGGTTGTTTATTTTTTGTAAGGTTAAATTCATATAGTTAATTAAAGCATTATCGATTATTGATTATCATCATGCAATAATGTGACAGTTAGTTTCATTAAAATCCAATAAAAATTACTTAACCTCTTTGATCATTGTTCCCAATTATTTATTAACAGTTAAAAAAAAAGCAAAAATATGACATGATGATTGTCGTATAATAAGCAATAAATGATCAATCTAAAACCATTAAAATTCATCAAACTCATGCCGCCTAATGTATGAGAATTTTTTTAATTGCTCTGATTGAATGTAAATAGAGAACTGAAAAACATTGTTTCTTTTTTTTCGAATAAATTAATAAATTAAAATAAAATTAGATAATTAATTAGCAAATGAATAGATTTAATAAAATAATTTTATTTGTTTTCAGCATGCTCAGGTGATCAAAAAAAACTCTTGGTCCTATTAAATCCAAAATCTGGTCCAGGAAGAAGTCGAGAAATTTTTCAAAGAAGAATTCATCCAGTTTTATCTGAAGCTGAAAAACTTTATGAAATTTATATAACAAAGTGCCCGAATTATGCACGAGATTTTGTGAGAACGAGGAATATTTATCAGTGGAGTGGGATTTTATGTGTTGGCGGAGATGGAATAGTTTTTGAAGTTGTTAATGGTCTTCTTGGAAGGGTCGATTGGAAACGTGCTTTAGAAGAGTTACCTTTGAGTGTTATACCTTGTGGATCAGGCAATGGATTGGCCAAATCTATCGCCTATTCAAAGCAGTAATAAATTTTGCAATTATTGTTTTTTTTTAATCATTCAAATATATTTAAGCAATTAAATATCAACCCACAATGAATATTTTCAGTTAAATTCATTCAAAATGGTCTACGAGTTGACTAGGAATTATTAATATTTTGTGAAAGTTATATAATTCTAGGAAGAATTTATCTCAGAGTACTTGCATTGTAGAAGAGCCTTTCTCATAGCATCATTCAAGCACAGCTCCAATTTAATTTCAGCTGTTTTGAAAATAATCATGCACGAAAAAATTTTTTCATCTTCTAGAACAAAAGTTAGAGAATTTAGAACAGAATATTTTTTTTTCACAATAATTATGCACAAGTCATATACAATTTATTATTAACTTTACAATTAATTTTTTTTACAAAAAACCATTTAATAATATTAAAGTAATAACAACAATTAATTATTTGATTTTTAGTACATTGATTAATACCAGCTTTTTAAAAAAAAAATATTCTATAATTAATAATTATTAACATTTTTTATAAAAATTAAAATTACAGTAAGAGAAAAGCTTCTTTTTTTAGAAGCAAACTTTTGATTCAAATCATTTTGCTTGAATGTAAGCAGAATATTAATTTGAGTTGAGTAATATAATTTGAATCAAAAATTTTTTTTTGCTGTTATGTTTACCAAATATCTACCTTAACTTATAGCTTTTATTAATCATAGCATTGGTTTTTATTTAAGTATCCAAGTATTTGGTTCTTTTATATTTAATCTTAATTTTTTATTCAAAATTTCACTGTCAAAGAAAACGTCTTTACTCTCACAAAATATATCACAATTATGATTTAAAAATAGTTGGTATAAAACAAACACAATATGAATATTTTTCCTGATCATATCCCATTTCACACTAATTTTTATAGCTGGTTAAATAATTAAATTAGCCATGATTTAACTTGAAACCACAACATCTAATGTATTTGAATATTTCAGGGAGCCTTACGATTCAAATCCAATGCTCGTAAGCGCATTAACAGTGGTTAAAGGAAGAAGAACCTCAATGGATTTAGTACGAGTAGAAACAAGAAGCCAAATTCTTTATTCATTTCTCTCAGTAGGCTGGGGTTTGATAGCGGACATTGACATCGAGAGTGAGAGGCTCAGGGCCATTGGTGCACAACGTTTTACTATCTGGGGTATTGCCAGGCTTATTGGCCTTCGTAAATACAAAGGAACCGTTTCGTATTTACCTTGTGACAAAGTTCCTAATGTAGAAAACAAAACTAATGGCAATTATTACGAAAGAGACATAAGAAATGATGATATTATTTCACATTCAAAAAGTTTTGGAGATAACCTTGACCGGTATGGTTTATTACTTTCATTACTTTTTCCGGTTGTTCTCTAACTTATTCGCTAAAACATGACACTATTATGTACTAAGTTGTTTTACCCAGTTGTTATATAACTGAAGGGTTCATTTATTCACTAGACAAATTCATAAATTTACATACGATTATTCAATTATCTATCAGCTTTTAGTGGATCATAAAAAACAGTTGTTACATAAGTATAAGTTATAGAATTTTTTTGTTTTTATACCATTTTTTAAAACAATTTAAGATAGATGATGTTATTTATTATTTAGAAAATATAATAGATTATATAAAATTTATTAAGGGAAATGATAACAGCTAATACTAGAGATTATGTAGCAAATAAAATGTTAATGTATAATATAGTAAAGTGAGAAATCAAGAAGAGAAATGCAATTTCGAGATTAATCAAGAAGCTGATTAAATAGATAAATAGTAGATAAATAAAAAATATTAAAGAGTGATGTAGGTAGAAGAAAACAAGAAATTCTTCAAGCTTTTTTTGTACGCTAGGTTTTAATATGTAAATACATAAAAGTAAAAAGATGTGAGAATTTTTTTAGTTTTTGTTAAATTTGCTATTTATATTTTTTCCTTAAACTTCTCGAGAGCATTGTTGGAACATCTTGAGTATCTTTTTTATTACATTCTATCTGTTCTGTCCAAAAATAATACAATGTGTATCTTCATGGTCACAATTCAACAGGAAAACTTCATCATGTCAGAATTATTGAAACTTTTAAATGAATTTTTTGATAAATCATTAAATATTTTTACATCAGCAACTTTTTAAGTCAATAATTTTAATTGCTTAGTATTTTATATCAAATTACTGCTAAAAGCTGTTATGATAATTTTATCAGAATTTATAAGTAACATAATACTTTTATGATCAAATGAATATTAAAAGTACTAAAAGGATTAAAAATTGTTCTAGATTCTGTAGTGTACGGGAATCAAAAAGTTATCAAGATGTTCTGGATTCTGTGACAAGTGATCTAGAAGATATGTATATGGATGAAAGTGATCTGATTGAAGAAAAGTTATCATTAGAAACAGAAGTTCAAAGTCGAACACGTCTTGATAGTTTTTATTCTGCCACGTCTAAAAAATCGGCATATTTCAGTACGGGTTCAGCTTCGAGTTATCATAGTGTTGAAGAAAATGAAAGCACTGCAGAAAGTAATTAAATAATTTAATTAAAAAATGATATATCATTTATTGATATTATATAAGGATATATTAACAGATAGTATTTTTTTTAGATGATGAAATTCCAACTTCTAATAACAGGGTTGTTTATGGTCCATCTTCAAGTCTTCCTGCACTTACGGCGCAACTTCCAAGTACTTGGATCCAAGTGAAAGGTAAATTATACCCAAGTTTTTTTTAATTAAAACTTTTTTATTATTTTCAATCTCTGTAAGAAAAAATAATGAACAACAAGTGTAAAGTTGTATATAATTTGTTTTGATTTTTAGGAGAGTTTGTAATAGTTCAGGCTAGTTATCAGTCACATATCGGTGAGGACGGTTTTATTGCACCTCAAGCAAAGCTTGCAGATGGAGTGATATGGCTTTTAATAGTAAGAGCTGGTGTTACGAGGTCTGAGTTATTGCAGGTAAAATTTTTATTATTCTTATTAACTATTGTTGTATCTATTTTTTTCCTGTTCATAGTGTCCTAGAGAATAGTTTGATTTATTGTTATAAACAATTAATATTCACGAGGATACGTTGGATATTAATCAATAGGTAAATCTCATAGGATATAGAGAGAATAGTTGGATTGTAAATAAATGAAGTAGGTCATAAAAATTACAGTGGGCAGTAGTGGGCGTAAAATATCAGAATTGCATTCAAAACTTTCCTTCATCTGCTACTTTATAAGAACGAAAGAACATATTCTCAACTTTTTACGAGAATTTTATATTCCTCAAACAGCTTCATAAAATGGATGTGGTTTGCATATTTAGAGTTAGTGAAATTGTAAAATAAATCGGTTATTTTTTTATGATAAAATCTTATTAGGCGCCTTAAGAACAGACTTTTTATGTTCATTAAAAAAAAATTAGAATAAACAAACCAATAAGTGTGCACTATTCAAAAGAAGAATATTATTAAAATCATAAAAAAAAGGAAAATTACAATAACACTTGATTAACTAAAAAAAAATACTAAATTCTTTCAGTATCAATTGAATTTATCTATTTAATAATTTCTTATTATTTGTTCATCTCCTGGTAATATTACTTTATTTATTGATGTCTTTATTCTACCCACATCAAATGAATATTGCTTGAATCAAATGAATTATTTTCCTTGACACTTCCCATGAGGAATCCCAATAACATACTTTCTGATAAAATTTAATATGTTTTTTCAACAAATTGTTTTATATGTATTCTTCAAGAATTCCAATTGTTATAAATAAATTATATAATTCCTATTATTCCTAAATCGATCAAATCAGATTAACAAAATTGTATGAATGCTGTTTTCATTTCATTTTAAATCGACATTTTAGTCTCAATTAATAAATTAAATGTTGATGTATTGATAAATAGACTCTTTAAATCTATTATTTAAATAATCACTCAAATAAATGTGATTTATAAAATTGAAATATTGAAATTTGATTGAATATAAATGTATTGTGTAAAAATGTGGATCCATTAGCAAATGATGAAATATTTTTTTATAATAAAATGTTTTGAATATATTCTTAAAACATAAAAAAATAACAAACGAAACAATTACAATAAAAATAGCTTTCAAACATTTTTAATCATTGTTTCCTATGAATTGACGACAGCAGTAATTATTGTACTAAATAATAATCATGATAAATTCGAAATAAATAGCCAAGTTAATCCCCAACATTATTTTAAATTAGATAAATAAATATAAAAAGTCATAAATTAAATTAAAACATTATAAAATTTAAACCATTTTTAATTCTAATAATTTAAATTTATTTAAATCATGATATCTCTCTTGAGCACACAAACTAACTTAATCATGATAGCGATAATAATAAGCTTTAAAAACATATATGTAGCACAAAGGAAGTATTAAACTGATTATTATTCTTTTATGATTGCAGTTCCTTCTAGGACTCAACACTGGGACTCATTTAACTTGTGCTGGTGTTGATATGATTGCTGTCAAGGCATTCCGTATCGAACCAGATCCTAGTGTCAATGGTATCCTGACTGTTGATGGTGAAAAGGTTGATTATGGTCCGCTACAAGCAGAGGTCTTTCCATCTTTGGCTACAGTCATGAGTCCTTGACCAGAACCTTGAGCATAGTTTCTCTAAGACAGTCTTATATAAGACTAACCCGTTACAACCTCATGCATAGGTGATGATGATTCAATCAAAAAAAAAATAAAGAGATAAATAAAAATTTAGTCATTGATTTCTCAACAGATTAAAGAATAAAGACCAAGGTTTTTGTAGTGCAAAAATATTTATTATGATAATAACGATATCATGGAAAGAATTATGACGATATTAACTAATATATTATTGAATTATAATTAAGTCAAATTAAATAAATAAAAAAAAAAACATCACTAATGGTTAGAGATGAATTATAGTTATAGACAAAGATAAAAGATGAGTTATATAAAATAGTATGAAAAAGTTTATGAACAAAATTAAAAAGAATTGATGAAAACTACGTCAATTGTAATCTATATTTCTAGTTAAAAAATACTGATAAAAATTTATATATGTAAATATTGTACTTTAATCGATAAGCTGATAACCTTTTTGCTCATGTAATTAAGTGTAGATAATGTGTTGAGTAAAAAAAAAAGTTATGAATTAAAACATTTTAAAAAATAAAAATTTAATTAATTAAATAATTATATTATAAATCAAAAATATTCTAGATTTGGATATTTTTATGTTGCAGGGTTTACTGATGGATATTTTATGGTTACTTATACTTAAGTTTAAAATAAAATGAATATTATCATATACATAATATTTAAAAATAATTATTATTTATCTATGTTAAGAATGATTATATTTGAATAATTGCATGAAGAATTTTGTTTTGTCAAGGTTGAATATTGATTGATTAATTGATATTAAAATTTTTTTATTTAAAATAATTTTTTATGTCTAAAATTTTATTATTTGAAATTATTCTCTACCGTCCTGAATATCAGTAAAGTATTAAGATATAATAAAATTATATTATAAAATTGGATGTATAATTATTTTATTTCATCTAATATTTGATACAGAGTAAAAGTAATAAAAAAAAAACAAAAAACAAATTACCACTCATTATCATTGATGAATCAAAATAATTTAATTTTAAATAATTACAGCCAAAAGTTTTATTCTTTGTCAAATCATCCACACGAAATAAAAATTTTAATAATAAAAAAGAGAAAATACCATTTTATATTTAGTCATTATTTTCTACGATAGTTTTTAAATTTATTTTTGCAAAAACACTCATTACTTTCAATATATCTTTGTATATATATATTATTTATGATAAATATGAAAATGTTCAACATTCAATTCTTCCGAATATCACTAACAAAACACCTCATACTTAAAATTAGTTGATACAAAGGAATTCATTGTATTTTACATTATCATATTGTAATTATTGAGTTATTGACTATTCAAATCAACAACAATCGAGTAAAATGATGAAATAATAATTTGAATATAATTATAATTAAACCACATATGTCTATTAATTATTTTTAAATAAATTTTTTTGTACGCTTCGTAGTTATGTTAATCCAAGACATATCAAGTGGCTTGGGAGATCGATAGGAAAATATTCCATGATAATTGAATCAATTATTTCAACATTTGGAAGTTTACGTATTCTTAATATTTCAGGCTTTGGTAAGCATTATATCGATGTTCAAAAACAAAAAAAAAACAGTAAATAATAGAAGGCACAAATTAACAATGATATTTAATATTCTAAATGATAATTTATAATAACTCAAATGATTATTTAATTTTGTAATTTTTAAGTTGTCAAACTTAGTGCATCAATGCTGGCAAGTAAACCATTTAAATCATATTGAACTTGATCTTGAGTATTTGATAAAGAAATTCTTGAGCAAAATGAGCTAAGCTCTTCAATTTGTTCATTGGCATTATTTTGTTTTTTTAAATAAGCTAAAAGCATATTTATAATCTTATGAACTTCATCCTTTATTACGTTCATATCTGATCCTCGGCAACTTTGTAACAATCTAAGTTTGGATTGGGCTAGCTGCAGTGGATTATATCCATGACGATCTGACGAAAGTACATTAGCTCCAGCTTCCAGAAGTAATGTTATCACATCGTATTTACAAGTAACTGCTGCCAAGTGTAATGGAGTGTTGCTTAATGAATCAATTTCATTGGGATTTGCACCATGATCTAGCAGAAGTTTTACAATATCCGTATAACCCCTGGAAATAGTTGAAAATATTTGTTTAGATACATGTTTTTATTTTTGTGTTGGTGCCAGAACATTAAAAAAATATATCTAACTATCTGAAATAGTATTAAATAATTATTGATAATAAATATTATTTAATTTGACATTTTTTAGTTGTTTAAGTACGTATTCACCTGCAAGCTGCCAAGTGAAGAGGAGTTCGTTTTAAATGATCACTGATGTTCGGAGAAAGTCCTTTTTCCAATACCTCTTTCATTAAATCAACATTATTGGTAGTTACTGCTCGTCTCATTCGCCTTTCCAACATGGAATTATTATAACTATCATATTTCTTTAGTGAACTCATATATCTAATCTTATTTTGCTTCAAAACTACTCTCTTCTGCATTGCTTGAATTTCAAATTCTAAAATAAACCAAGTTTTTATATTTACTCAAAAATTGATGATTCAATATATTCATTTATAAATTGATATTTAAATGTAATTATATAATATATAAAAAATGTAATTAAATTAACAGATAAAATTATGTAGAATAATTTAGGCAACTAATATTATTAATTGATTGATGTACGTAATTTATTAATTTATTTCAAAAGATTATATTCACCTAGTCTTTCTGCTTTGTCTTGAAGAAATTTGAACTCACAATTCGGAGGAAATTTAAATTGTAGCTTAGGTAAATTATAATCAGTCATAATAAATGACTTTACAGTTGAATTTGCTATTGGTGTCAAAAATTCAGACTCCATAAGTTTTTGTTCATGTTTTTGCGTCGTTGCAATTTGCTTTTCAGTTGATATAACAGCTGTAGATACATTTATTAATGATTGATTTGATAGATTTTCAAGTTGTACACCATCATTGGAATCATTTCCAGTTTCTACTCCTGAATCTACGGATGTCATTTTCGCATCTGCTTTTTGTATCGTCGTTATGTTATTATTGTTTTGTTTACTTTCTTTGTATCACTCTCACAATTAGCTTTACTATTACTTACAGAATTTTGCAGACCAAATGTAAGTTATTTTTTATGCCAAATCATGCACATGAATTTACGTTGTCAAACGTTTTTATAGAGCAGTGATAAAAAAATAACATTAGGCGTGGGAAGTTATTGCGTACACCTTGTAAATAACATACTTTCAATACCAAATCAAAAAAAGAAAATCAGATCTTTGTGTTAGATATATGTACAGTATGTATGATATACATATGTGCGTTGTTGCATGAGTCACATGTCATGATTGGCGCTGGGTTCAAGACAATCTTTTCTCTGGTGGTTGACAAGTTAATCATTTTTTTTAATCGGTAAAAAAAACTACTTTTTGTATTTTCAAAAAATTATGCATTTTTTTAAACATATTTCGTTGTTTAAAAATTATTATAAATAAATTATTTAATATTAACATTATTTATATCGATAATATCACAGAGTATAGTTATCATCAGAGGTTAGTTGTAGACGCCATCTTGTCCATGTATGATTAGAAAAGATGGCGTCTAATTTCTAGTCACCTGGAGAAGCTCAACTGACCAATTCAATCATTCTGTTAAATACCTATACCGAGGCTCATCTGTGCGATAAAGAAAAGTTGATATCTCTGTTGAAATTAGAAAAAGATCACGCTAATTTATGTGTATAATAAGAGTCCATTTAAGATGTCACGTTAGCATGTTGCACAGAGAGCATATACGAGTTTCATCTAATAAAAGATATTATTATCATTGTTCAAATCGATTGTAAGTTTTGATAATTTCAGTGTCTCAAGTATTTTCTATTGATAATTGTGAATGATTAACGATAAAATCCAGATAAAGAAAGAAAGAAATCAATAACTATATACATACACGTAGGAGGCTAAAAAAAAGTAAATAACTTTTTCGGCGGTAAACACAGTTAGATAAAAGATGTACGTGAGCCTATTTGTTTAAATGTGTGTGATTGGAATTAATATAATCAGGAATTTGTGCAATCAAATTTTCTTTTTGTGATGTTCCCCCACTCTAATGCGCTCACTTATAGTTCGTTGATAGAAACAGCAAAGCACAACAGAGAGAGAGCAACAGAATATAATAGTGTAGAACTTGGTCTGGCACGATCCAGCACAGTCGGCACGGACACACATCAAGTGGAGGGCTGGTACCTGCCTAAGTAACCATTAATTCATACACTTTTTACCATTTAAAAAAATAACTTACAATAAAACATTATGTTAAATACATGATGTTATTAAATAATTGAAGAAAAAAATGTACATACCATATGCCATAATTGGTCATATTGTATATACAACATAGTGCAAGTAGTATCATTATTGAAATTCATACACGGGGTTAGCGCTCTAAGTCTTAAAGATGACCATAATTGTCTTTCTCATCGACACTTCAGCCTCCATGAATCAGAGGGCATATTTAGGAGGACGCCCGACTCTTCTTGACGTTGCTAAGAGCGCAGTTGAGACTTTTGTTAAGGTATTCAAATTTGTGTGTACATACATATACATATTATATATATACTTATATCATATACACATGACGATCACATTTACACTAAAATATACGTAAAAAACTATTGACACTATTATATTACCAGTAAATTATTCATTAGAGTTTTGTTATTTTTCAGGTGAGACAGAGGTCACCAGAAAGTCGTGGAGACAGATATATGCTGTTGACTTTTGAGGATCCTCCTCAAAATATAAAAGCAGGATGGAAAGAAAATCTTGCTACATTTATGAATGAATTAAAAAACCTTCAATGTGTTGGTTTAACTACTTTAGGAGCTGCTTTGAAACATGCTCTAGATGTTTTAAATATTAATCGAATGCAAACGGGTATTGATACTTATGGACAAGGAAGATGTCCATTTTATTTAGAACCGTCAGTCATTGTTCTAATTACTGATGGAGGAAAGTATACGACAACTCTTGGAGTTCAACAAGAGGTAAGTTCATTTATTCTAAATGATATTTAGAAAAATTAATATTTATTATTTTTATTCTTGTTCTGTAGTTTACTCTACCTATGCATTCACCAATTCCTGGTTCTGAACTGACCAAAGAACCATTTAGATGGGATCAAAGATTATTTTCACTTGTTCTGAGGCTTTCAGGAACACCTGCAGTTGACAGAGATACTGGTTTGGTAGCTAGTGATGCTTCGCCAATAGATGCTATGTGCGAAGTTACTGGAGGTAAAATAACTTATTATTATTTCATTAAATCTCTTAGAAATGTTGAAGAAAATAATGTTTGGGTATCACAAAAATTCATAGTAAAAATTGTGTCTAACATTTATTTTCAATAACTTCCTATAGAGTGATATAGTGAGTTACACAAGTTATAGCTCACTATGCGTGTATCAAATATTATTAAGGATTTTTATTGAATAAAATATTAATAAAGGAATCATTTTCAGGTCGTTCCTACTGCATCACATCACATAGAATGATGATGCAATGTATAGATTCATTGGTACAAAAAGTTCAATCAGGTGTAGTAATAAATTTCGAAAAAATAGGCCCAGATCCACCACCGTTGCCAAATGAAATAATTCCTCAACAGCAACAAACTCAATCTCAGCAACCAATGCAACAACAATCAACGGTTCAACAGGAGGATGAAGATAATGATGATGAAAATTCATCAACTACAGCGAATGGAGTAAAATCGCAATATTTACCAACGCCAACAATTGTAGGAAATACTGCATGGCATTCATGTAGAAGACTCATCTATGTTCCACGTTCAGCTCAAAAAGGTTTTGCTGTTGGTTTTTGGCCGATACCTGAAAGTTTTTGGCCAGATTTAAGTGCAAGCTCTCTACCACCAAGATCGGCACATCCAAATGTCAAGTTTACTTGCACAAGTCAAGAACCAATGGTGATAGAAAATCTTCCTTTCGATAAATACGAATTAGAACCAAGTCCTTTAACACAATATATATTGGCTAGAAAACAGCCAACCACTTGTTGGCAGGTTTTCGTAGCAAATTCTTACAAATCTAGTGATGTTGGTCATCCCTTTGGATATTTAAAAGCTAGTACAAATCTTACTTGTGTTAATTTGTTTGTAATGCCTTATAACTATCCTGTGTTATTACCTTTATTAGAAGAACTCTTTAAAGTTTCGAGATTGAAACCGACTAATGAATGGAGAGCTCAATTTCAAAATTATATGAGAACTATGCCAACTTATTACGCAGCTTCATTGAGAAGAGCTTTAACGAGAATGGGAGCACCTGCACCTTTAGCTCAAACTCTTATACCAGATAGTATGGACAATTCTCTATCTTACAGTGTATTAAATTATCTAAAACGATTAAAAAATCAAGCTAAAATAGAATTTGATCGTTTATGTAATGAAGTTATTTCAAAGCAAGTTGCAAATGCTCATGCTAATAAATTCTTGGTTAATGGAACAACATCAGTAACAGAAGGGGTTCGTGTTATTCCAAGAAGTCCTTTGAAAAAAGATTTAGTTTCACATCCATTACTTCAGGACAAATTTACTGGACTTCGTGATCAATTGAATGAATTTGGTGGTTTTGTTGTTGGTCTTGTAAGAAATCAACAACAACAGCGTGGCGCACACAGTTATAGAAATGCTTTTGATGTACCAAGAAAAAGTTTATTGGATCAAGTTGTTAGAATGAGAGCGAATTTTCTACAACCTGGACTGGTACATACCAAGTTATTGGATGATGATTTTGTGCATTCTATGCCTGTAGCACAAATGGGTAATTATCAAGAGTATCTAAAACGAATGACGCCGCCTTTAAGAGAAATCGAAAGTACACCAGTACGACAACACATGTTTGGGAATCCATTTAAAATTGATAAGAGAATGATGGTGGATGAAGCTGATATGGATATAGTATCATCATCATCATCGTCGAATAATTCTTCACAAAATGCATCTGGGAATTCATCAATTTTATCACCATCTTCACCAAATTTATCTGGTTCTTCTATACCATCAGGAGCTTTATCACCAACATTGGGGTCAAAAGGAGGTCTAAAGCGTCCTTTAGAGAGTAATGGCAATTCAAATTCAATCATTAACAGACCTCCTTTTAATAAAAGAAAACCGGGTCCAATTCCCAAAGACTTCACAGTTAGGAGACCTCAATACTCGTCTAGATCACCATCTCCATCACCGTTACCGTGGTCTTCTTTTGAACCAAAATCTCCACTATCTGCGATGGAATTGGCACCTGAATTCCCTGGTTCTCCAGTGCCAGTTATTCCTCCTATGTTTAATTTAACACCAGCATCAACTGATAAATTAACTAATGGTATCGCTGAAATGCCAACTATTTCAACGCTTGAGTTACCTTCTGAAGTGATAGAAAATCATTCTGAACCTCCTACTTTAATGCCAATGGTGCCGAATAATGTTCAATCTAAAGTCGAAGTCAAACATGGAAATATTGATGTAAAAGTAGAACCTGAAAGCACTGATGACATTAATGATGATAATATGAATAGTTTTAATGTTGAAAGTAAACATGAAGGAATAAGTAATCAAGCTGATGAAAAAGTTGAGATTAAAGTAGAGAAAGTTAAACCATTTACGAAAGCAGAATTGGAAGAAATTAAAAAACATAATTTATCAATCAGAAATTTAATACATAAAGAAGTGAGGAAAAGAGGAAATAATTATACAACTTTATTTTCACATATTAATCAAGTTAAGGGTACTTTAGACATTCGAATCGCCTTTGTACGTGATATTGTTAAAGAATCATTGCGATTTAAACGACGAAATTTAGCTAAACTTTTAGAAGAATATTTGTGTACAGTTCAGGAAGATGGATGGATAGTTAATAACTGTAAAATTAATCACAATGGTGCGACGAAAATGAATTAAAGAATTTTTTAAAGACTCGTTATTAAGATAAAAAAAAATGGAGGAAAATTATTAATTATTTTTTTAAAAATTCAATTTAATGTTTAATAAGTAAAACAAAAATAAATAATTTATGAATACATTATTATTTTTATGTTCTGTATTGATTGTAAAACATACATTTGGGCTATATTAAATAATTTTGTTTAATTTAAAAGTAATTAAAAGACATATTGATGATATATTAAAACAAATTTTAATTTATAAGTGATAAATGATGCTATGAAAAGTTTTTAAATTACAATTATTTATAAAACCATCAGAAATTGAAGAAAAAAAAAGCTATAAGATATGTAAATATTGTATTTTTCACAGAATTTAAATAAGGACACATAGTAATTCTACCATTGTTCTGTGTAAAAAAAAACCTGTAAATATTTAATGATTGTTATTAATACAAATTTTTGTAAAAAAAAAATTCACTAAAGAGGTTATTTTCTATCTTTTAAAGATGTAAATTAAATTAAATATTTTATGTATAAATTAGAGTAAAATAGTGTGAATTAGACGTGTAAAAAAATAGTGACGATAGGTGTCGTGAGAATGCGTCTTTAAAAAACACGTTATTTCATTGGTACAGTCGGAATAAAAAATATTGAAAAGTCGAACAAATCAATAATGAGAATAGAATGGAAAGAGCCAATAGGACTACAAGGAATGTGTTAACTCAAAAAGAACTCTTATTTTTTACCGTGTAGTTAACAAAATGGCCGCATTTTAGTCTTCAGAGATAAGACTCTCTTTGCTGTTTGCCAAAAATCGAGACTGAGATACGATAATTGTGCGTTTAAAAGTGTGACATAACGTTAATTTTGTGAATAATTTATTTACGTAGGTAGACAAATCTCTCAAATAATTTTTTTAATAAATCAGAGCTTAAATTTTAGATTGTACAAATATTCTCTTATTTCGCCATTCACTCTCTTTCTCTATCTCTCTTTCTCTCTCTTGAGCCTCTTTGCCGGGCCAAACCCATTGTCTGTCGACGATATTTATTATTAGCAAATGTTTTAAAGTAATTATTTTACCAGTTTGTCCATTTTAAATATCAATAATAGTGTTCTTATATGTTTTCAATAATCTTGAAGTTTTTAGTGCTAACAATTACCATTTTTTTTTACTGAAAAAAAACCGTAGAAGTAATTGTTTATTGTATAACTTTTACTTCAATTCTTTCATGTGGTGACTATAAATTTATTAACATTCTACACTTCCAGATTACTTACCACTCATTTTATAATGTTACGACATCATCATCATTCGATGCAAAATCAACTACGAGATCAAAACAGGTTAGAAATTAAACCTTTAGTTTTTAAATGAATAGAATTGTCAATATTCATGAACTTTTTTAAAGATAACAATTCTTTCACTACGAAAATAGTAAATAAATAATTATTTTTAAAATTTATTCCATTGTTTCTGTTTTAAAGAGGTTAAAATTTATTGATATGATTATTAAAATAAAAAAGCATTGTACTATTATTTGCGAACATTGAAGTAAGTTTATTCATTCATTTTCAAACAATTTAAGATTACATTAAATACATTCGTTTGAAAAAAAAGACTACAGATTAGATTAAGAGTCAATAAAAAGTATACATTCAATGCAAGTGACTCAATATTCGATGACTATTTTACATACCGAGTAGTATGACTATATACAAAAGTGTAAAATATAGAGATTTGTGCAATTATTGGTGATTTAATTTAACGTTTTAAGCTAATGATATAATAAATTTATTAAAATAATTTTTATTTATTAGAATGGCTGGTCCTACACGACAAATGTCTCAAACAAATATGATGCCCCCACATCAACCTCAACCTCATATGCATCTACATCGAGGTATGCATGCTCCTCAACAAATCATTTCTCTTGCTGGCCATCAAGCAATGCATGCACATCTCCAACATTCTGGACCGCCACGACAACCACTTCTAATTGGAACGAACGCACAAAATCCTAATGGTACGTATTTATTAAAATTCATCAATTTCTTTTGATGAATATTACATTGAACTATTTGCAGCATGCTATAAAAAGTATTTGAGCAATTAATTTAATGTAACTGCAATTTTTATTTAATTAGAATTATTTTCAGTATTGCATTGCATTTTGTATTTTCCTTTTTTCTATTCATCTTTAAAAAAAATAATAATACAATCATTGTTAAGATACAGGTGGGTTTTGGGAAAAGGTTCTTGGGGGTTAAAGGAATATTTTTTAATGACATTTTGACAATTCATTCAGGAGAATAATACAGGAAAAAACTTCATTGAGAAATGACATGTATATTCATTTTACATCCTAGACTATGTTTAATTTTGTTAGGATTTCGGCTCATTAAAACCCTGATATGCCTGTACTTGGTACTACTAAACATTGTGGATGCTAAATTTCATCAGCCGGTGTTACGGTATAGTCTTGACGATTTGGACTTATTATTCGGGACAACAGGATGCATCGAAGGTTGGTTTACTAAATCCACTATTCACAAGTTTTTAATTGTTATTGAAAAAGAAAAAATGACAAATAAAAGATCATAAGGGGTCTTTGAAATAAAAATTTTTACTAAAATAATTTGTATGGAATGTGAAAAGAAAATTTAACGAAAATATGTATAATTATTTTTATGTTTTTTAGAATCGATTACAATATAATATGGTGTAAAAGTATGTCTATTGTAAAGAACAGTTATAACACCAACTTGTCGATGCATCGTCAAAAAAGAACTGATGTCTTAAAGCTTGAAAATAGAATATTCGGCAGAATAAAAATTCTTAATATAATAATTGAGAATCTTAATAGTTAGGTTGTATTTTTAGAACTAAAATTATGACATTTACAAGAGTTTAATTATATTTACATTTCATTTCAATTAATCTGCAAACTAATTTCAAAAAAAATCACTATTTATTTAATTTGGTTCAAGTACTTTATTTGTAGGCATGTATGCATGATTAATATTTTTTGCCAAGTAGTTTATTGTCTTAAATGTTATAAAATGATGAGTATTAAATTTAGATAAGCAAATAATAAAAAAAGAACACATGTTCAAATTCAACAAGCTCAGAAAAAACCAGAACCTGTATAATTACAGCAAATGCTTGAATTCTTTACATTTATTTATAATAATGTAATTTCTAATTTACTTAAAGAAATCTTAATCTGCCAATATTCTTTTAGTTTCGGCCTAAATATTTTCAACCAGCCATGCTTGCTTCTTTAATTGAATGTTTAACTTTGCACCAATCATTAGTTTCCTTTAAAATATACTTTATTAATTTATAATAAAAATAATTGTTGTTATTAATGAATAAATTATTCTAATAATTATAATGTGTGCTTAGGCACTATGGTAAGCATTGGTGTGAATAGACAATCAGATACGACAGTTCCTGGTAATCTACAGAGTCCAACCGTTGTGCAGTACCAATATCAACAATCATCACCGCAACAGCAGCAACAACAACAGCAGCAACAACAAACAACACAATCGCAACAACAGCCATCACAACAGCAACAATCACAGTTATCAAATGCTAGTGAAAATAAATCACCGACTCGTGATGGTAGTAGAGAATCAAGAAATCATAGTCCTCCGAATCAAATTCACACTAATGCTACTGCCACTAATTTGGCAAACATGAAAGAGAAAACTCCAATGTGCTTGGTAAATGAACTTGCAAGATTTAATAAAATTCAACATCAATATAGATTAACTAATGAGCAAGGTCCAGCACATAAAAAAAGATTTACTGTAACATTAAAATTAGGTGAGGAAGAATATGTTGCTGATGGGCCAAGTATAAAGAAAGCTCAACATAGTGCAGCAACTGAAGCATTATCCAAAACTTTATATATTCAACCTCCACCTAAACCAAGAGCTATGCGTGTTGGTCATTCAGGAAAATGTCCGAGTGGTTCAGGAAATTATACAAGTTATTTACCACCAACTGTTGGACTTAATGCATTAGCAATGAAACGTGGTGAACCAACTATTTATACTTCTAGACAAGCACCACCACCAAATCCTCAACCATTCATGGCACATGATTTTAATAATATGCCTGATCATTTACGCATATTTAATCCTTCTTATCCACGAAATATAAATCGTTATCATTACATGAAACCTGAAGGTCTTTACATTGGAAAATTGAAGGTTGGTGAACGTGAATTTACTGGTCAAGGTGCTACTGGCCAAGCTGCACGTCATGATGCTGCAAGTCGTGCTTTGGAGCAACTACGTCAACTTCCACTTCCAGCAGAAGTTGTACAAAATAATAATGAAAATTAGGCTGATAATCTATAGAAATTATTTCTACTGTAATTCATTTATCATTTAATTTATAAATAATTTGGTTTAATTTTTTTTACTGTTAATTGTTTGATGTTATATTAATGAATGAAAATTAAAGAAAAATTTTTAATAAAATTTTATTTTGATTTTTTTTACGTTGACAACATATTTGTTATTTCCACGTTGCCTTTTGATTTAAATAAGATTAAAGTTATATTTTGTCTTAGAATCTTGATGCAACGTTATTGTAATGCAAGTTGTTGTCACTTAGTTTGTTATAAACAGTAATAATAAAAGATGGAAGATTATTTTTGTCAGGAATCGGTATATAATTGCTAATGTAATTAAGTGTAGGAAATTAATTAAGATTTTTGTGTTTAATAGATGCCTAAAAGACACCAATTTTGACAAAAATATATATGTCTTTAAACGAACAAAAAATGAATATTTCATCTTCTTTTTATATTAAAAAAAAAATTATGTTACTTCTTTACCGATGTTTCCTGAACAAATTTAATCTTACTATCATTCATATAAACTGGATTAAATAAAGTAAAAAATAAAATTTAATCATTACTGGCATTTGTTATTTTCTCCTTGTTAAACCTGTTGATGTAAAACATACTCATTAATTTTTATCTGCTAAAATAATAAAATTAGTAAAAAGGTACTGACATTTAAATTTGCAGTTGTACAAAATAATAATGAAAATGGAATAAATGTTGGAATTGATGATCTTAACACTGAACTTAAGAGTCCAGTTTCTTTAGTACATGAGACAGCATTAAAACGAGGACTTTCAGGTAGTTTTGAGGTAGTATCAGAAAGTGGAAAACCTCATATTAGAACATTTACAACTAAATGCACTGTTGGAGAAAAAGTAACTCTTGGAGAAGGATCATCGAAAAAAGTTTCAAAAAAAAGAGCTGCTGAACTTATGTTAGAAGAATTAAAAAGACTTCCTCCTTTACCTGCTACAGTACCATGTCGGCCAATTCGGATTAAACGTAAACCTCTAGCGACTAAAAAAAAATCACGAAACCTCATTAAAGATTATGAAGAACCACGACAAGAAACTGATGCTGGTGATGAAATAAATCCTATTTCACGACTTGTTCAAATTCAACAAGCTCAGAGAAAACCAGAACCAGTATATACTTTGATTGAAGAAAAAGGTGCTCCACGACGTCGTGAATTTCTCATGGAAGTTTCTATTGGAAATCATACTGCACGTGGAATCGGATCTAATAAAAAACTTGGTAAACGTGCAGCAGCTGAAGCACTTTTAACTAAACTTGGTTATAATAAACCTGAGATACAACCAATTAAATCATCGATCAAAACAACAGACAGTGAAACATCTAATGTAGAAGGGAAACCTCGAAAAGTAACATTCCTTGAAGATGAAAAACAACAACATCAAAATGAAACCCCAAATCATTCGGTTGGTGGTACAATTGGACGACAGTTGGTACCTGGACTACTATTAGTGGATGGTGGTCAGGAAAATAAATCAAATAGTGGGCCAAGTATTCAAGTAGTTGCTGAAGAATTACGAGAACAACAACAAAGTAATCCTTCTGGTATTTCTCCAAAGGAGCAACTTAAATATCTTGCTCAACTTCTGAATTTTGAAGTAGAATTTAGTGATTTTCCAAAGGTATGCTCGTTTATATTTCATTTTGAATTCTCATAAATAGTGTTGAAGTCAAGGTATTTATCCTGCTTCGATTCTGATCTAGTAACATTGATATAGTATGATATATCGTAAGAATTGCAAATTTATTTCATGACATTCAGTTATTCTGAATAATAAAAGTAGCACAATGACTTAGTATCTTATGATTGTTGATTTTTTTATGTAAAAAAGAATTGAGTAGTCTCAAGAAGTACAGTAAGATTTTTCTAAAAGTAAGAGACTATCCAAAGTAAACTGAGATATTTTCAGTCAAATAGTACAAACTGAAATAATGCAAATATTTTTAAAAAAAATCTTGGAAGAATAGTAACATAATTATAGGGAAAAATTAAATTTAGAAAAAGATAAATGATGATAATACTCAAGTTTTCATCATTTTGCTTCCAAGATATTTAAATTTATTCCTTCTATTTAGTCCAATGTGTTTAACTTTATTTATAGCTCATACATTTATTAATTTTAACTTCAATGCTGATATTTATTTAAATAGTGATTTTATCTTTTTACATCTATATTTTCTTCATCAGAAATATTTTATTATCTTTTTATTTTATTTTTTGATTAATAATAAAAGTTTTTTTAATATTTTTAATTTTCTTAAATACACTTCAATTTAAACTTTTGAATATTTATTAAATAAAATTTGTTTAAAAAAAAATGAGTATAATGTTATTTAAAAGGATACTTCAGCAGGATAAAAACCTTAAAAACTATTTTTACAACACATTTATTTATTATTGAAGCAAAATAAAAATAAATAATGAAGATTAATTGATACAACACTATCTTATGAGACATTAATATAATAAAAATAATCTGAAATAAATTGAATTATTTAAAATGATAGAAATTTCAGGGTGTCTACAAAGAATATTTATCACTGGTGTCTTTGAACACGGATCCACCACAAGTTTGTCATGGCCATGGACCAACAACAAGTGCCAGCAGGGATCAGGCTGCTTTAACAGCACTACGTACACTTAGTAAACTTGGCCTCGATAGTGTTACTAATACGCAAAAAAAAGACAACAAACCTGCTCCAGATCAAGCCAATAGTCAAGCAAAAAATAATATTATCAATCAAGCGATTGATAAGTAACCTTGATCAGTAATACTGAATCAATAATGTTAATTTTTTTTCAATACACGCATACTTCTTGCTTCATAACATGAAAAATAAAAGTTTGAAATGCGTTTTCGTTCTATTTTCCTTTTTACGTCGGTATGATATTAGGAACAAGCCAATAGTAATGTAACTGCTTGGATCTATTGTCGTAACGCGTATGTATTTTACTCGCAGTATTATTGCCTTTGCGGAATTCAAATTGAAAAAAAAATAATAAAAAAAAGGGTACTGTAGTCGAATATAAAACAAAATAAAATGTCATGTCAATTATAATTGTGATTTTTGTGCTACTGTGAATGTTTAAGGTCTTCCGCATAGGCAAAGTAACACATTTATTACATATGAATAAATTTTTATTTCATTTTTATTTATCAAAGACGATCGAAATGGATAAAAATAAATCTGAGACGAAATTGCGGCCATTCTCACAATCTATCGATTGTTTTCGATTCACTTATAAATTTCACTATGCTACATTGTTTTTTTTTCATCAACAAAATATTGTTTTTAAGTTAAACTTTTCAAATCATTCTGTTCAGATTTTTTAAATTATATTAATCAAAAAAATACATTAATGATTGATTTTTTTCTTAAATATTGCAGCAGTAGAAATTATTCTTATATAGTTAAGCATTAGGCTGATAATTTATAGAAATTATTTCTACTGTAATTCATTTATCATTTAATTTATAAATAATTTGGTTTAATTTTTTTTACTGTTAATTGTTTGATGTTATATTAATGAATGAAAATTGAAGAAAAATTTTTAATAAAATTTTATTTTGATTTTTTTTACGTTGACAACATATTTGCTATTTCCACGTTGCCTTTTGATTTAAATAAGATTAAAGTTATATTTTGTCTTAGAATCTTGATGCAACGTTATTGTAATGCAAGTTGTTGTCACTTAGTTTGTTATAAACAGTAATAATAAAAGATGGAAGATTATTTTTGTCAGGAATCGGTATATAATTGCTAATGTAATTAAGTGTAGGAAATTAATTAAGATTTTTGTGTTTAATAGATGCCTAAAAGACACCAATTTTGACAAATATATATATGTCTTTAAACGAACAAAAAATGAATATATCATCTTCTTTTTATATTAAAAAAAAATTATGTTACTTCTTTACCGATGTTTCCTGAACAAATTTAATCTTACTATCATTCATATAAACTGGATTAAATAAAGTAAAAAATAAAATTTAATCATTACTGGCATTTGTTATTTTCTCCTTGTTAAACCTGTTGATGTAAAACATACTCATTAATTTTTATCTGCTAAAATAATAAAATTAGTGAAAAGGTACTGACGTTTAAATTTGCAGTAGCAAAAAACGTGGTAGAGGAGATAAAGAAATGAGTGGTGGGAAGCCTAAAAACACTAAAACGACTCTGTTCGACACTATACAAATTCAGTTCCTAACCTATATTAATAAAATAATATATATAACTTTTTCTGATATTTATTATTTAAAAATAATTCAATATTTTTATGTTTAAAATGTAATAATCGAACATGAGATTTATTATTCCCTCTCCAACATTCATTTATAATATTCTATTTCTTTTGTAATCAATCAAACAAGTATTTATACACGTAGATCGTATTCATAGCCTTCGAAAGGATCGATAGCACCTGTAGAATCAGCATTTGCAACTAAAATTAAATCACGTATATTTTTTTTTTTAAAAATAGATAGCGTAATTAATACATAAATTAATATTCTTAGTATATTTTATTACTTTAAAACGTTTTTGAGCATACTCAATACTAAAATTACATCTATTTCAAATAATCTTCATTATGTACTTTATAAACTATTTCTAAAGACTTTAGATTTGTCATTCTACGTATGTAGACATTGAAAAAAAACAATTACACTCTTTAGATGTGTTGAACGAAATATTTTCATTCATTGATATGAAATAGAGGTTAGGAAAGCTAAAAATAGGACTGTAGAGAAGATCTAGTGTTGGATAATGATTTAATAAATAAGTAATTCTGTAAAAACGTCTGATGCAAAAATTACATTCAATTAAAAAAACAAACAACAAATTTATTTACTATTTTCTTCATGTTATTGCATGAACGAGCAATGAGCCAGCCATCATTCAACTCTTTATTGACCAAGTCTAGATGGGAAAGGCTCGTTTCTCATTGGCTCGGAGGTAGTGAATACATTTTTGGCTGAGCAAATTGTGAAAGAAACATCGACCATCTTGATTATATAATGCAATGGTTTCTCAGTCAAGTTTCTAAAGTAGTAGAATCAGGATTTAATTTTTTTAACAACAAAAAAAAAGTAGCAACTGAAAAGAATTGTTATAAAATTGATTAATGAGGGATTTGAATACTGAAAACATTTTACTCTAGCTCATTCTCAACATCTATTAAAACACGCGATATTAACTTCTTTTCTTTAATAATTGATTGTTTTACAATCAAGTCAAAAACGTATTTACAATGAAAGCATTAATAATCATAACAATTACTATGACTATTGTTAATTGAAATTAAAATATTATTGATGCATAATTATTATCTAGATGTTTAGGAATTGTATAAAATATTTTGTTGATAATTTTTTAATCATCATAGATGGAATCATTATTAAAAACCAAGGCTTTAATCGAGAAAAAAAATATCTAAAAAAATTTTTATGCCCACATATAGTAATGTTTATTCTTTAATTAAAAATTTTTAATGGAGTTTTATTTTTGAAATTGAAATTTTTTATTCGAAACTCGAACTCGGGTCCTCTCGGTCTGCACTGAAATACATTGACTACTTAAACTCAATTTTTCAGGCAAATGATTTTGAGTCCAATCGTATTTTTGGGGCTGGCATTTAGCAGAGATGTTCGCCTGAAAAAGCGAAGTATCTCCGAACCAATGAGAAACGAGTATCGAAGGTGACGCATGATTGGTCAACGCCACCTGTTGCTATGCATGCAAAAACGATACTTCTGATTGGTTCGGAGGTTACACCCGATACAGGTTAAAACAGGTGCATTTTGCACGAATGTTTCATACCCAATCTCCGAAATCAGCTGGCAAGATGTGTCTTAAACGTAGAAGAGGAACTGCACAATTGCCAGACTGTATGGAGAAATCGAGAGCTGTAGAAGAGTACAGCGACCGAGAATTTGCGGAAGAGCCGCCGGCGAAGCAAGATCGCCCAACGTGGGATGAAGCGGACACCCGCAAGTTTATTGCCGGTCTGAAAAGACACGGTAAAAACTTCGGGTTGATCCGCAAAAAGTTCCTGCCGGACAAGTCGACGACCGAGATTGTTCTCTTCTACTATACGTGGAAGAGAAACGATCTGGTCAAGACTTGTTCGGACTCCAGGAGTAAAATGGCCAAATCAGTGGCCACTAAAAGCATCTCCTCGTACATGAACCTCTCGACTACATCACAAGGGGTTATGACGAGGAGTGCAAGAAGAAGGCTCCTGGGGGAATGAGGAACGGGGAGCCTCTGACCACCAAGAGCTCCCCCGAGAGGTGGTTTTAGTGAGTATTGCCGTATGGCCGAGTCTCACACTCTGTGCGTAAAAGCATTTCCACCTCTCGTTAATAAAACTTCAGGTAAGTACTTTGGTGAAAGAATATATTTGGTGGGACTAAATAAATTTATTAAAATTAAATTTTTTTTTTCAGCATTTCCACCACATCAACCTCAACCTCATATGCATCTACATCGAGGTATAAAGAACACGTGTTGTGTGTCTAAAAAATATCTACTTACCAACAAAGTATGTATAATTGTTTAATGATAAATATTTTATAACAGCAAATGCTTGAATTCTTTATATTTATTTACAATGTATATTAATTTCTAATTTACTTAAAGAAAACTTAATCTGCCAACATTTCTTTAGTTTCGCCCAAAATATTTTCAACCAGCCAAAAATTTCTTAATATCTTTCTTGAGTACCTCAGTAGTTAAGTTAAGTCAGGGACGGTGACCGTAGAAGTAATTGTATTTAGTGCTTTATTTTTATCTTCTTTAATAAAAAACAAAAAAAAAGCTGTAGGTTAGTAGCAAAGCTTATATTATTTTATGTTCAATATTGAATGTTCTATTCAATCGAACAGAAAATAAATATATCATCTTTTTTTAGTATTTAACTTTTTCTGATGTTCATTATTTATAAATAATTCAATATTTTTATGTTTCTCATGTAATAATCGAACACGAGATTATATTATTCACTCTCCAACATTCATTTTTTTCTGTACAACAATAATAAATATTAACCTTCAAAAAAATATAAATTCAAGATATGAATTTATAAGATATTTTTTTTTTTTTCAATTTAAGGGTATTTTGAATAACCTCTAAAACTCTTTTTTATTAAAATGAAAAATTTTCAATTATGACTAAATTAAACAATGTTCGTTTTTAGTTTAAACCCAGGACTCTTTTATAACTTATGTTATAGATGATGATCAACCAAATGCACTCCATGTGGCAGTTGAAGCAAAAAATTATGCAGCTGTTGAATTATTATTAAAAGAGAACGTAAACATTAACATATTAAAAAAAAATGAAGCTGATGTGAATTTGAGAAATCGATCAGGGAAAACTACTTTACATCTACTAGCAAATACATGTCATAACATCTCAATTGCAATCATTGAGTCTATTTTGAATCCCACTAATAATATTAATGCTAAAGATACTCTTAGTAGAAGAACACCCATTCATTATGCAACTTTTCAGCACAACGATCGTGTTCTTAAAGCTCTTATCAATGAAATCAGTCGTTCTATAAAAATAATATTATAATTGCATTTCATTATCTTTTAAATACACATTTACAATGGTATTCCATTGTTATAATGAGTGAAGCAAAAATGATTGGATTATCATTATAATCTAGAATCACAATTGCATATAATTGATTCTATCAAGAGCTAATACTTTCATATGTTTCTGTTTTAATATTTGAGTATGTTTTTTATTATAATAGAAGTGAATTGTAACAGCTTTCTCTATGCACTTCTTCAGCTAAAATACAATAACTTATCCTAGTATAAAAAATAGCAGT